AACACTGCATCTCTCGAGGGAGCCATTGTCGTCATGGTCTTTTTCTCCTTGTTCGTCCAAGCCGCCGAGGGATCATCGTACGGAATTGTCCCATACGTCGACCCTCCATCCACTGGATCCATCTCTGGAATCATCGGAGCCGGAGGAAACACTGGAGCCGTCGCTTTCGGAATGGGATTCCGTGAATTGGAATACAAGGACGCCTTCATCATCATGGGAAGTACCATCATCGCCTCTAGTGTTCTTTCCTTCTTCATCTGCATCCCAGGATGCTCTCGCATGCTCGGAGGAGAGGACGACGTTCCAGCCAAGGACACTCTTGCTGTGCCCACTCCTGAAACCGACAAGGTCGAGGATGTCAATGCTTAAATCGTTCGATGCAAGTTCGCATTATATTGATCCTGCAGGGACTTTTGAATGGTGGCTATTCTCCTGCAATGCTGTGGCTGTCGTAAGTGACTGGCATCATGACGCAGATGAAGGATGGCTGCTTTGTATATGTAGATTTTAAGATTCATTTTAGTTTTGATTCTCCTTTTGATTGAATGATATATTTTACTGAGGCTTGTTTTGCTTGTGATGGCACCTACCGGTATCTTCTAGGAAGATTCTCCGCGTCTTTTCCTCTTTATCGTTACCCCTCCCTAATTCCTGCTACCACCTGCGGTCGTTGATGATATATACTGTAGCATATTCCTGACACTCTGTCGGTATATATGCCTTTTTCACTGCATCAAGTGGTCGACGAAAGTTCACCGGAGGACTCTGTATGGCTACTGTACAATAACTCTCTTGCTAACAAAGGCTGCATCCTCCAATGATTGATTCAGTTTTTCTGTCAACATTGGGACCGAAAATTGCATGTCCAGATTTTGCTTCACTGACTGTCTTCGTAAGTATAGCATCATTTAAAATCAATTTCCCCACGCCATGATATCGTTGTATAAGCTTCCTTTGTGGATTCGTCATCTTCTTCAAATAAATAGACGCTTATGTTATGGTGAAAGCTTCTGTTCTTATTTGTATTTGGTTCTAATTGCGTCTCGGAGCACAGTACGATCTGAATCCCCCGAGGCAATTCGACCATGTCTTCGCTTGGTGCTAGTGCCACTGGATCGATTGGATCTTGAAGCGACGAGTCCCTCCCTCCTTCGGCCATGTCAAAGGGAGAGTTGTTGCTTGAGATCTCCAAAGTTTGATTAACTCTGCGTCAAGCTTGGATTTCGGCTTGAAGCTCGAAGATCTTGGTAGATATATGAAAAGTAATCAACTCTGATCTCGTCTGATTGATATATTTTATTAAAAATCATTGTTTCTGAAGTTTCCCTCCTTGTTGGATGTCTGTCTTCCAGTAGATTCTTTCATGTGGATTTTGGGACTCATGCGTGATTGCTGAAATGTGAATGATTTTTAACAGGTGGCGTTACCGAGTTCGAATGAGAACTATAGCCGTTTCGTCCTTCAGTCTCGTGGAAGTATCGCTGTTATTGTCGGTATTCGTCGGCAGATTTAGAAACTCTGACGGAATCAATAAGATTACAGAATCTTCGACAATCTGAAGAAAGGATGACCACCGACAGCAACAGTTGACTAATACATAGTCGCCTCACTTCAAGCCGGACAACATCAGTAGGCCTCACATTCGAAATTTTCAATCGCCTAGAATATTGTCGTTGTCGTCATTATCAAAATACTGTCATCTATATGACTAAACTTGCGACGCAAACACCAAATTCTGACCTCTTGACAAATGTAATTTCATCGCACGATGATTGATCGAAGGAATTCATTCATGGTGGACGCGGACATACAAGTAGTATATTCCGGTCGGAGGAGTATAGCATTCGTCAACGGTTCTTGGTAGAGTATGAGGCTGATTCCTTCAGATTCCGGAATGATACGGTTATAGCAATTAAAAGGATGAAGATGATGGCGACGACGACCATCTGTTCTGAATTTAGGTAAGCCTTACCTGCAACTGATATACTGGTAGTATACGACACATCGCATAGCGCTTATTGTTTGATTGTTGCGATTCAGAAGGTTTATTAGGCGAAGCTCTTCATTTCATAAATGGTCGTCAAATTTCCATTCCAGATTCAAAAATTGGGGCATCCAAATGTATTGCGTCAACATTAAATGCTGATTATCTTGTCATCCAAAGTGTGACGAGCTGCAGCATGATACCAGCTATGTTACATATAACAACATCGGCAGGTTAGCAAGGCAAAACCGCTTGGGGCATAATAAATGAAGTGAAACTGCCAGGGACTTGTCGCTTTTGAAGCCTGCTGGATTTCTGCCATTCAGCTTGGCCTTGCCAGTTTCTGAAAGATATTCAATCCCCTGAACCATGTGGTAAAAGAGTCTGGCACAAGAAAATCTTGGACTGGAAACTTCACAGAAACATTTTACGGTCAAAACTTGGGATTCAATTCTTCACTTCTTCATCACCACGGGGAAAGTTGGGCATCAGTCTTCATTAGCAATGCATTTCAGTCTCAGCTAGTTGCAGATCTTCAGCATGGGGACGCTAAGGTGATTTCTCACTCTCGCAATATCGTCGAAGATACCTTCGTTTGCTCCACGTATTTTAACAGAACTCAAAACTTCGTTTCCCAATGCCGCTGATTCTGGAAGTTTTACACACGATGCGGATCGGGCGAGTCAAACCTCTGCCGGAAGTTTTGCTTCACAGAAGTTCTCGATCGTATTTTTTTGATATTGGAGATACTTTTATTTCTCCGATCAGACTTCGTTTTGAAATTTCCATTTAGATCCTCGTTTCACTGACGATAATTGCGACCTGAAGTTTTGGAGAAATAGGGTGATCTGGCTGGCGTCCGAACTCCTGGCACTTGAACTTGTTGTGCCAACGGAGTGCTAGGTTCTTACTTTTTTTACGGAAATTTTGGCACGCCAGATTTTTGACGACAACGACCATCAGGTCACAATTTTATTTTTAGCAATAGTTGAAAGCTACATCAACAAACAAAAATGAGTGGAACTGATGTTGATACCGGCGCTCCTGTAAGTAAACCCTCAAATATTGAACCAATCATGCACTTCATTCACAATCATTTACTAACAACAACTAAAACAATACGATTCAATTCTGTCGTTGTCGTCGTTTCATTTAACTTTAATCATTTTACAGGCCGAATGGAAGAAGTACGACTCGTACACCCTTGAGGTCGACCCTGAACAAGATGACAGAGCCACCGAGATCAAGCTTTGCAACTTCTCTCGCCCACACATGAGAGCCTTCCACTTTTCGTGGTTGGGTTTCTTCATCGCCTTTTTCATCTGGTTTGCCATTGCTCCCCTTCTCTCTGAGATCCGTACCACTCTCGGACTTAGCAAGAAGGAGATCTGGACTTCGAGCATTGTCGGTGTCGGTGGAACCATCTTTATGCGTTTCCTCCTTGGTCCTTTGTGTGATAAGGTCGGATCCCGCGTTCTTTTCACCAGCGTCCTTTGCTTTGCTTCCATCCCTACCGCCTGTACTGGACTTGTTTCCAGCGCCACCAGCCTTGCCATCCTCCGTCTCTTTATCGGATCCGCCGGAGGTACATTCGTCATGTGCCAATACTGGACTTCTAGAATGTTCACCAAGAACGTCGTCGGAACCGCCAATGCCCTTGTCGGTGGATGGGGAAACCTTGGAGGAGGTGTCACGCAATTGGTCATGGGATCTGCTCTTTTCCCTCTTTTCAAGGAGATCTTCAAAAACGAGGCCAACCCAGCCGAGATTGCCTGGAGATGGGTCAGCATTGTTCCCGCTGTTGTCGCTTTCGGTATTGGTGTTGCCATGTTCTTCTTTTCTGATGACTCCCCCAAGGGTAACTACAACGAGTTGAAGAAGCACGGAGCCATGGCTGACGTGTCTGCTGCCGCCTCTTTCCGCTCTGGAGCCTTGAACTTCAACACCTGGGTTTTGTTCATCCAATACGCATGCTGCTTCGGTGTCGAATTGACCATGAACAACGCAGCCGCCCTTTACTTCAAGGACAAGTTCTCTTTGACTACCGAGGAAGCCGCCGCCATTGCTTCCATCTTTGGATGGATGAACCTGTTCGCCCGTGGTCTTGGTGGATTCTTCTCTGATAAGGCCAACGCCAAGGCCGGTATGCGTGGACGTTTGTGGACCCAAACCATCCTGCTTCTTGTTGAAGGTTGCTTGGTTTTGGTCTTTGCCAACACTGCATCTCTCGAGGGAGCCATTGTCGTCATGGTCTTTTTCTCCTTGTTCGTCCAAGCCGCCGAGGGATCATCGTACGGAATTGTCCCATACGTCGACCCTCCATCCACTGGATCCATCTCTGGAATCATCGGAGCCGGAGGAAACACTGGAGCCGTCGCTTTCGGAATGGGATTCCGTGAATTGGAATACAAGGACGCCTTCATCATCATGGGAAGTACCATCATCGCCTCTAGTGTTCTTTCCTTCTTCATCTGCATCCCAGGATGCTCTCGCATGCTCGGAGGAGAGGACGACGTTCCAGCCAAGGACACTCTTGCTGTGCCCACTCCTGAAACCGACAAGGTCGAGGATGTCAATGCTTAAGTGACTTTTCAACAAGACACCGAGCTTAGCTTGTGCAACGGACTGTTAGATTTATCGCCGGCGTGTCTTAGACGCTGAGCTTGATATTGGTCTGCTATATGTGATTTTGCTTTTTATTATAGCTTTATTAAACTTTTAAGATTTTCATATCCTGTCAATTGTGATAACACCCCCCCCGCAACCGGTATACACAAGCAATTTTATATATTGTTCGTGATGTTCGTAGTAGAATAGCATATTGAGGATAAGATCGTATGTATTTTATATGTACGACTCCATCGACTAAAAGTCTGTTTTCGAATCATCGTCATTATATTTCAGCATCGCATCACCGTTCATATATGATACCGGCACCTGTTATTCATTTATTTGATGAACTCCTGACGGTGATGCTCCAATTTATTGATTTCCAATAATAATCTCACAATTCATAATGCCTGGCGGCATTGACTACTCGAAATGGGACAACTTGGACGAATACAGCAGCAGTGATGATGGTGAACAAAATGATTCATCAGATAATGTACGAGTGACTCAGCTGGATGCTCCAAGTCAAGTTACTTTTGGAGGTGAAGACGCCTCGACCCCCACCATAATGCCCTCATCCTCATGCAAGGCACCAGCTATTGAATCCGCTAACGGTATTGGCACTGCGGAGGTCACCAATACCAAGTCCACATTATTATCAGATCACAACGAAACGGATCCATACTATGACTGGCAAGAGAAGGGAGGGATGGTATCCATCACATCATCATCTAATCACAACCGGCGTCTGTATTGGTCACAAGGTCGCTATTCAGTACTTTTACGACTGGAACTCTTCCAAGAGGAAAAGATCAAGTCTGTACAAGTCAATGGATCAGTGTCCTATAGAGATCGGTTTTGCGCTGTGGGTAGCTCCAGACCAACCATTCAAGTGCATTCCACTTCAGCAGCAGCAGCAAAGAGCGAAGAGCTGAAGTTGCTGCTGGAGGGAGAGCTCCCACACGCCGTGCACTTTTCCGAAGATGAAGATGAGATTGAATGGAGCGTTGAACGATCTAACAGAGATGAGAGATTTCTCACCATTACACTCTTCAAAGCTTCTCCAATACAAGATGTTTCGGTATGGTGGCAACGACCTTTGATGGCATTTGATGAAATCGAGATTGAAACCAAGTCCGACAGTGGGCCGCAATCGTTTCAGCAAGCATGGGAGGAAGCTCATAAGATATTTCAACAAAGGCGGCAACCATCGAGTTGATTGAAGCTGTGGCAACATCGGCTGCAGTTGGGAAGCATTACACTAGCTGACAGAGACATAAATCCGTTGGTACACTGGCTGTTTGGTCCTACTGGGGAATAAAGTCTGCTTCATTTATTCGAACTATGAATCGACCTAGTTATCATGGAGACCACAACCAACTCATTTAGAAATGATTGATGAATGAATGAATCCATAAATCTTGCTTAGTCTACTCAAACCATCGTCCTAATGATACACAGTTTAAAAAAATACATGCTGCTTTCTCTAAATGATACGCTATTGCTACTGATTTCTGCCGGTGATGTTGGAGAATTGTACCCACAGACCTTCAAAGTCAATGTCGCTATCCTCCATGGATGCGCCAAATCCGACCGAGAGACATTGCATGAAACCCAAATCGGTGCACTCATGACTCATTTGCAGCAGTGAAACCCAAATTCCTATCAGCTGGAATAAAATTGCCATGAATGACCATTGAAGTCCAATCGTTTGTGGATGACAGCATGGCCAGACTTGTGTCGTACAGGCGTGGGCATCGCTTCCTTCAATGGCGGCAAATACAGTGTCATCGTGAATATCAATAATGGCATACATCCCAACTGTAACACCATAGTATAACACCAAGAATTGAAGTATTGGCGTAAATGCTGTATATTCGATCAGCGTGACAATGATATTGACCATGGCATACCCCAGACTTATGCATACCAACAATCGATTTGGTGAAAAGAAAAGTGCGACAAGCAATGATATGGTGAACCCCGCAATGGCTACTGTTGCCATGTATCTCCCCGCACTCATAATGACAAACGTCATGGCCGAAAAGGCCAGGCCCACGTATCCAGCTGGGATGATTAGACATCTCATTCCTCCGACAAAGGTCGTCACACCACCGTCATTTTCGTAGACTTGAATCCCCCGTACTTCCCCACAGGTTAACCAGCATACTGTAGCATGACTCATCTCATGAATAAATGTAGCAATTAATCGCACTGGCTTCGCAAGAATGGTGTCATGGAACAAAATCGCCAAAGCACAAAATGCAAAATAGAACAGAATGAACAGTGTCTGCCGATCATTGCAGCAGGTCCAGGTGCCATCATCATAATTCTCTATATTATTGTTGTTGTAATAGGCAGAATATGAATCATCGTCGCCATAGAATGCGTTTTGATAGTATGTCATAGTTCAATGAATTGATTCCGGTATTTTGGGTTCGTTCTTGTCGTCCTCGTGACTGCTAATACTTGTTGCTTGCTTCGTGGCCAATTGAATGGCTGTTTCTAATCTGAAAGAGGTGGATGTCCAAGATCAACTGATCTCTCTTTCATGAATTGTAGGATGATATGGCAATTAGTTGTGGTGAACGTCTTCGTGTGGTATACGACGGACTAGAGTCGATCCGTCACAAAAGTGTTATTATTATTATTACGAAAAGATGAAGGCTCGCAAAAAATCGTGAGCGACTTCAGTTGAACACGATCCGTGACGTTTTTCTTTAACGGCATCTGCACATGATCCGAAGTACACAAGTTCCGATAACGCGCGCTGGTCTAACGGAAAAAATACTCCATTACAACAACATACCTCACTACATATATGTCTTGCTCAATCCAAGGCGACCACTTACCTTGCTACGAATGAACCGCTCGCGTCGCCAAAGAAATGAATGTATCTATCAATCGATCCTAACATTTACTGCTCGATGAAGATGGCTTGGTGGAATCAAGGTGTGAGAACGGCCGACGACTTGGAACAGATGTGTCGAGTTGCTGCCGACCTCCTCTTGGTCTTTTCAGCAGAATTGAATGCGCACACAAACAGGGAATGGCTGTGTCGAGCTACAAAAAAGGATTGGTAGATTTGGCACTTCGACTTTTTTCTTCTTCTTCTATAGATACACTCTGACATAATGAAGCAAGAAGGAAGGACGGCCACCACCACCACGGCACGAACAATCGATCGAGCGGCTAGTATATACACAAGAAGCCCTCAGTACGAACTGCGCAAGGATGGTTCTGGCAAGTCACTTTCCATTATATTTTGGATCTAAGCGAAGCCAACAAGATTGAAAATATCATGGCTATTGAATGATTCATCGTAGCAAGAGAAAGACCACAGGATTGAGCCGGCTGAGGAGCAAGATATGACGGCAACAATCAACATTTCGGGGCGCTGTTTTCAAAGGTCGGCAGCAACAAAAGTCCTAGTCGTTTCTATAGCAATACATCTTTCCTCTCGTTTGAAGGACTCTTTGGATTATGAAAAGGTCTGGACAATTTAACGCAAGATAAGTAGCGCTTAACGAGTTCTCTTCCATTTCCATTTCTTATTGAGAGTAGTTACTCCGCTCCATGCCACGAGAATCAAAATTTTGCTTGGTCGCATTATCACATGTATAAAATAAGGTAGAAGCATTAATTTTAAAACACAATGGTATAATGATAATGGTCGGAGAGCATGCACTGTTTTACTTGCAACGAATCAGAATATAATAAACTGTTCGTGTCTTTGTGAAGAAAATTCGAATGTCTCTTCGTTTCAGGATGTACATAACGAACCCTCCTTGCGCTTCATAGACTGACTGGGCATGCTGAATGAATCATATCGGGCAAGTTATCGGTGGCCGAATAAAGGTGGCTTGAAGAAAATGCTGCTCTAGCACTTCAACCCGATCACCATTCGCAAAGAAACCATACCAACGTCATATTCGCTTCAGACTGACAAAATTCTTCGTCCACTCCAAGTGAATCCCTGAACAAAAAAGAGACGACAATCTCTATTTCAGCAATCGTGATAATGGACTGAAATTCACAGCCGGATTCTGTCAAACCAGCCATGTCTCCAGCAAGACCGACACAAAGGAGAGCAACATCGCCACTCGCATCTTCTCTTGTCGATTTCACCACTTCTCTTGCACTGCATTGCCCTAGAAGACATATTTTAAAGAGCACATCTTGCAAATGTCCAATGTAAATTGCTTCGATCCGCGTTACTTTCTAGTCTGGTCATCTGGCTGCCCCACGTGTCCACTTGGCCTGACAATAGTTCTTAGGGTGCTTTTCTTGGGCATTGCCTTTTCGTCTTCCTCCGGCACGTCCGAAAACAGCTTTGTTTGTGTTATCTCGATGTTTTTCGTATTATAAGAGGGATCCCTTCCCTTCTTCCTCGGTGCTCCAGGGCATGACCGGGGAATGGGTTCTCTTGGAGGTGACGTTTCTTCTTCAGATGACATTTTCGTTTCTGTAGACTGCTGTTGATCCTAGTGATGGGAATGCTTTGTTCCTAAACTCTTTCAAACAGCTCAGTTTGTGCTATGTATCCCTGAAGCAGTTCAAGACGATGGCAGTTGGGAGCCTGCGTACACCATGAGCTCCGCAGCACAGCGCTGTGTATGAAGACTCATATATTCCAAAAATTTCCGTTGTGCCAGTCTGAAGCCGATTCCCACACGATTCATTGAATGAATCGTACACGTGTACGTGACTGAGTAGTCGAAGAAATCAATCCAAAGAACCTACCCCTCCCACGGATCCCAAACTCCTTCCCATTCAGGTCCCAAACGCTTTGCCAGCAGCTGATTGTATGGCCGAAAGAAGGCTGCTAGATACATTCGAGTGTGTTGGGACAAGGGTCGCTTTAGTGCATACTTGGCCACATTGTGCTGTGTGTAGCCCGGTTCAAATGATGGCAAATCCATAAATTTCAAAACCTCCTGATACACCGTACTTGGGTCTGACAGGAATCGTTCGTGGTGAATCACATGGATTGATTCATGAAGCGCAAAATGTTCTAACCAATGATCCAACTGAACAATATACATTCCACGTTGGAGAAAGTTCGTAGTGAAGGTCTTTAATGGTGGAAGCAGCAAATGACAGTATCATATTTTCAGTTTTACATGGAGTAGAGCACAGGACCGCAATGGTACAGAAAGGTTAGAACAAAAATCCATTCTCGCGATGCAAGATAAAGTCATTGAGTGAAGTAAAGTACATACCTTTCGATAATGCTTCCAATGTAGCTTCTTCTGTTCTTCAGCTGTCAAGACGGGAACATCCTTAAATCCAAGATGCTCCGAGGTGGTTTCATTGAATTCTTTTCTTGACGGGGCATGGCTCAATCCAATAGATTTGAAACTAGCCATTTCTTCATCTAGCAGACTTTCAAAGGTCCGACCCTTGACATCAATGTTCATGCGATAGTGGGACACGGCACGGTCAATTGGATTTCTCAACAGTACAATTACTTTGGGCTTCCAGAAACAGGTTTCCAATATCCGCGCAGGCGTTTCAGCCAAGAACAGATAGGATGGAGTCTTTTCCACAAAGACGGTATCCCGAGGAATGTCATTGTCATTGGTGCCAGGACTATCAGCATCCGAAGATGTGAAAAAGTCTGAATACGTCTTGCGTAGCGCACATTGCCATTCGTCACTCGTCAGATTACTATTAGTATCCAAAGACAGCTGATGGTACTTTTTCAGAAAGTCATTTCTTTCGTCTCGACCCTTGGGATAGTGCCAATCGAAAAAGTGAGTCTCTGGGACAGAGGTTCCATGAATCTGAGGATGCTCTTGGAGAAATTCATAGAGTGCTGTGGTTCCACTCTTTTGGGCTCCAACAATAATGAATTGTGGGACTTGGGGGAATGTATAGTGATGACCAGGAATGGAACAATTGTAAAAGGCAAATGACTTGTTGGTGTTTCGGTGAAAGTCCTTTAGTGATGCCACTGATGCCGATGAAAATATTGATGATCTCATCATCGTCATCTGAGGTTTTCCAACAGGCCGCAAAGCATCACGCTTACCCTTGGCTATGGTTGACTGCTGTGTCTTCCACTTATCACGTAGGTCATACAATGTATTGGAAGCAGGCTGATGCCACCACGGCGATGAGCTGAAGAGAAATGCTACATGCTGCAAGCCAACCAATCCGAAATATACACTCAAGTAAATGACGGCAAATCTCTCAATTAATGATAATCGACGTGGCATTTCAATTGTTAGAAAGCTAAACGCTTCATTAGGAATACAATGATGGTCTTATGTCTGGTGACGATGTACCTCATGAAGCGGGATCTTGAAAGCATTGCATCATTGCCCGCAACGTGACAATGAGAGCGTTTTTTGGGCACGTGCGAAATGAAAAATAAAATAAGGTCAGTCATTCGACCGATCTCGTACTTGGAAAGACCGTGTACAAAATGTAGAGATGTGCCACTAAAGTATGGACTCACTCCCCCCATATGGACTCCCAATGGCAAGATGGGTCTCCCCTAAATACATGAAGTATCTTTGGGGTTGGAAGTTTACATCTCACTTCCCCAGTTGTCACAGGTACTGGAAGACCGGTCCACCGGCGGGCATTGTGGGTTTCTCCGTGGTGATATAGTCAACATGGCCCCGCTGAATTCACACAGGCTCGTTTTAAAACAGTACGATACCATGCCTTAGAGGCTTCTTCTCGTCTCCGTCGAGTCCAACAATCACACAACATTCTTCTGCTAATCTGTAGAGAGTAGTACTGGTAGTAGTAAAATAATATCGTTCTATTCATTCTATAATCGAAAGAGGCCGCGTGCCACTGCAGTATTGCAAAACCATTGAGCACACGATTGCTCAATGTACCAGTGGTGCATACCCTGGAAATTGTAAAAGAGTTATGCCGCTGTCGTCAAGCGGGCAATTAAGCTGCCAGTAGATCGGATTGAAGAGTTCCGTACTGGGCAATGGCCTGAGATAGCCTTCGAACGTTGCGAGCGAGAACGCCGACTATCATCAACATCAGTGGTTTCTTTTGCTGACAACTTCTCAACATGCCAAGAAACTTCCAACCCCTTCATGTGAGCAACTTTGGCAGCTCTCCTGGAGTAAAGCGAGAAAAATTCCGCAATGGATTCCTGATCCAACTTGAAGTCAGAAAGATCTTCTTGTGCGTTGTAGAATTCTTCTTCTTGTTGCAGTTGTTCACCCAATACGCATTCCTTAGCTTCTTTAATGCGCTTGATTCGTTGCCTTCGCTCCTTTTCGGAATAGAGGCCTACGAAGGAGACTCCTTCTGTATCATCATCTCCAACAAGAGATGTAGCCCCAGAAGCGACAATGCTCTGAAGACGCTTTTGTTGCTTACGCAAGCTTGCAAGCTCTTGCTGAGAGTACCAGAGATCATCTACGTTGGCGATAGATGCTTTGCCGCGCCTACACCGGACTCTGCTGTGAAAGCATACTTTGCGCTCTCTCGCCACTGGAGAGGCTTGTTCGTCGTCTTCCTGTGGTGTTTGAAAGTGGAGACTTCCAGATTCATCGGTGCTGTCTTCCGAAGACCTTTTGTGGATGACGAGATTATTGTGCATTGGCATTTTTTTTAAGATTTTTGTATTTTGTGAGCTCAGAGTACAAGTAATCGTCCCTCAAACACCAGATCAAAGTTCGAGAAGGCGTTAGGCACTTGCCAGATTCTCATAAAAATGCGGCATTTCTGTCGTGTTGCAATCCCATAAGTATGCGCAAATGTCTTTTGAAACTGGTCGGTTCCTAAGCCAGTTTGCATTTAGAGCCAATCTGGGGAGGGAAAATAATCCGGTCATTTGCTCGCATAGACGACCAGAACCTAAGCCTCGATCTCGGGGAAAGCTCGCTTCAAAAATCCAGTCAGAAAGGCTACACGTATGACTCGTATGCAATTGCATTCATCTAGAACCTCGAACCCTTTCGAGCTTCTTGGTTTCCAACGAAAATCCTCCGACTGCAGTATCGCATTTTGCACGGTTTTTCGACTAGAGGTTTCAGCAATCGCGGTTGAACCTCCCGGGTATCTACTGTAGACATGGCCCCGCGTATCAAAGCGAAAGATTCCCTCTCCTTGAAAATGGCGAGTTCTAGCGGCTTCATTTTTTTAATAGTCTCTAACATTACTGGACGGTACTGTGTAATAGAAGTTACAGGAGCGAGACTCTATAGGGCTGGAAGATTCAAGAATGTATGGAATTGTTGTAGTGGAAAAGTATCCTAGCAAGGTTATAGCGTTCTATTTATTCTATTTTTAAAAGAGTGCCACTGCAGTGTTGCAAAATCATCGAGCGCACGATTGCTCAATGTACCAGCGGTGTCATACTCTGAAAATTGAAAAAAGAGTTAGGGTCCAACAATCACACAACATTCTTCTGCTAATCTGTAGAGAGTAGAACTGGTAGTAGTAAAATAATATCGTTCTATTCATTCTATAATCGAAAGAGGCCGCGTGCCACTGCAGTATTGCAAAATCATTGAGCACAAGATTGCTCAATGTACCAGTGGTTCATACCCTGGAAATTGTAAAAGGGTTATGCCGCTGTCGTCAAGCGGGCAATTAAGCTGCCAGCAGATTGGATCGAAGAGTTCCGTACTGGGCAATGGCCTGAAATAGCCTTGGAACGCTGTGGGCGAGAATGTTGGCTGCAGGATGGTTGACTATCATCGCTATCTGTTGATTCCTCTGCTGACAAGTTCTCAACGTGCCGAGAAACTTGCAGTCCCTTCATATGGGCAACCCTGGCAGCTCTGATGGAGAAGACGGAGAAATATTCCGCAATGGATTCTTGATTCAGATTGAAATCAGAAAGATCATATATTTCGTTGTAGAATTTTTCTTCTTGTTGCAATTGTTCACTCAAGACGCATGTCTTTGATTCTTTAATGCGCTTGATTCGTTGTCTGCGCTCCTTCGCGGAATAAAGGCCAACATAGGAGATTTCTTCAGTGTCGTCATCTCCGACGAAAGATGTAACCCCAGCCATGGCAAGGTTCTGAAGCCGTTTGTCTTGCTTTCGCAAGTTCGCAAGGTCTTGCTTGGAATACCAGAGATTATCTGGGTTCGTGATGGGTGCTATGGAGCGCCTACATCGGACTCGGCTGTTGAAGCAAACTTTGCGCTCTTTCCTCATGATAGGAGCGGTTTCATCCTTGGTTGGTGTTTGAAAGTGGAGACTTTCAGATTCATCGGTCTCTGCTGGTTCCATGCTGGTTTCCATGGACCTTTTGTGAGCGCTGGAGGTTTTGAAACTGTGCATTGACATCTCGCTGAAGTTTTCTGTGTCGTTCGGTTTGTGAGACCAATGATATCTTTCCCAAAAACCGGAAGTTCGAGAAGGAGTTCGGCACTTGACAGATTCTCAAAAAGTATAGGCATTTTTAAATAAACGGGAAGTACCGGTAGAATGATAAAAATTGATATCGATATGCCTGATTTCATTTAACGCGTGGAATGAAAATCGGACAAATACCGAGCAATGATTCGGATAGACGATCATATCCTAAGCCTCAAGTCCAGTCAGAAAGGCTAAATGATTAGGGCAATACTAATCGTGATATGCAATTGCATGGATCGAAAACCTTTTTGGTGGCAAACGAGAACTTCGCCGTTCGGTTTGGGCACAGATGCAAATGCATGCATCTATGATACTTAAGAGTCAGTCATATAGGTTCAGTAGCTTGTATTCGTTCAAAGTCGATCTCTGGATTCAATTGCTCGACGCTTCTGTACCGGTACCGGTAGCGGTGTAGAAAGTAGCAGCTATATGACCTATCCGACCACTGTGATACATGATCAATCGCTGGCGTTCAGTCTAACGTGGCCCCGTTTAAAAGCAGGTGGATGATCCAGTATTTTCGAAAGTTCTGTATGTTTTGTGGCTCCAAATCTTTCACTGAAGCGAAGGGAACAGTGTAGCACCAGGTATACAGAGAGGTCTACGGTAGGGTTGTAAGATAGATGAAATAAAAGGTTTTGTAGCGGGAAAGTATAATCCTAGCAAAGTTTTGTAGCGGAAAAGTATCCTAGCAAAAGTTATATGTTTCTATTCATTCTATCATCCAAAGAGTACCACTGCAGTATTGCAAAATCATTGAGCACACGATTGCTCAATGTACCAGCGCGGTTCATGCGTTGGAAATTATTAAGAGGCCGCTGCCGTCAAGCGGGCAATCAGTTTGCCTGCAGATCGGATCGAAGAATTTCGTACTGGGCGATTGCCAGAGGTAGAGCGGGAGCGTTGGCTGCAAGAGCGTTGGCTGAAAGAATGTTGACTGCAGGATCGATGGCTGTCATCGAGGTCTGCGGTGGATTCCTCTTCCGAAAAGTTCTCAACATGCCAGGAAACTTGAAGTCCCTTCATGTGAGCAACCTTGGTAGCTCTCTTGGAGTATGTGGACATAAAGTCAGCAATGGACTCTTGGTCCAGAATGAATGGCTGGGAAAGGTCATCTTGTGCGTCGTAGAACTCTTCTTGCTGTTGCATCTGCTCGCCCAAGACACATTCCCTGGCTGCTTTGATGCGCTTGATACGTTGCTTGCGTTCCTTTTCAGAGTAGAGGCCAACGAAGGAGATTTCTTCGGTGTCATCGTCTCCGGTAAGAGATGTAGTTCCAATGGCGACAATGCTTTGGAGACGCTTGTCGTGGCTGCGCAGGCTTGCAAGATCTTCCTTGGAGTACCAGAGATTTTTGGCGTTGGCGACGGGTGCTTTGGAGCGCCTGCAACGGACTCGGCTGTTAAAGGATACTCTTTGTTCTCTCGCGGGAGTAGTAGTAGTCGTAGTCTCTTCCGTCTTGGGTGCTTGAAAGTGGAGACTTCCAGATTCATCAGTCTCTGTTGTTGGTTCCATGATGTTTTCCATGGACCGTTTGTGGGCGCTGGAGGTTTTGAAACTGTGCGTTGACATCTTGTTGAATTCTTTTGGATCGTTCGGATTTGTGAGATATTCTGTTTTGTGAGAGAAAAAACATCGCTCCTCAACCCATCTGTCCAAGTCCAGCAAATGGATGATTCTCAAAATGAAACAGAAGTTTGTTTCCCAGTTGCCGAAACACTTATGTAGGTTGGAATGACTTGTGAATCTGGTGGATGGGAATGCCCAATTACACTTAACGGTCAGTATTCGCTTTTATAGGATCATCGATTTTCAAACTACGATCATCAAAGATTGAAATAACGCGGTTGATTAAGGTCCAACTGTAAAAACACGTTTTCTATCCCGGATTTCTTCTCTTCGAACAAAAAAGAACTGCCGGCCGATTCGCTTTTTTCATCAGGTGCGAGAAGATTCCCCGAACATATGTGATCTGGTTCGACTATGGTCGTTTGATGTAGTGGAGGACCGTCTTTTCCTATGTAGAAATTATTCCGAGGTACCACCGAGTGCGATAATAGTTCGAGCAATGTTCCGGAATACCACACGATGCAATAAATAGTTCAAACAAGAACGATAAAAAAGTTTGAACAAAGGATAGAAAAGTAGTGGCGTGTCATCGTTAGACTTCTTGGGATCAATAAGGAAGATAAATAGAAATGTCCGGTTTTCGTTGCACTGGAGTAGAGTATCTCCGCGCTGGGGCTAATTGTTTCGGATCACACAGGAGCGTCTGGAGTACTGTATTGTACCCGCCGCGATACTGTACGGTAGGTATTACAGTACCTAAAGTACCTGGTAGTAATGGAAATCAATCTGAGAAAAGGATTCTTTATTGGCTGGATGAAGGAAATGACAAACACCGCAAAGCAGTTCCCACAGGATGAGATTCGAGGATGATTCAGTATGCATCATGATGAACGGTGACGGCAAAGACTTCTCAATCTTGCTTGCTTGCTTGCTGTCTAGTGTCGGCGTGATAGATATCTTGCAACTACAGTACTAGTACGGCCGATACCTCTTACTAGTACTATGATACCACTGTGCTCTATGCTCTGCCTTGAGACGTTTTCGTGCCCTCTTGCTTTGATGGTTTCTGGGTGGTGCTGGTGAAATACCGACAAGAGCTACAATACTGTCCTCAGAAACAAGGAGAGCCATCTCTTTCTTCCAGTCTTTGTTTTTGGCCTGTGATGCTGCACACTGAAGGCTACTACTCTCAACGCAGGAAGCAAATCACCAGCACACTAAAAAACAAGCCAGTTCTTCTTCCTGCCCTTTCATCTTTGTTCTCTCATGGCGGCTTGTTGATTGGGTAACCATCACGATTTCTTCTGTAACAATAAGGAGAATATCGATCAGCTGATTGGTCCTCGTTTTTGGCGGCGAGTAGTAGTAGTATTTCGGAACACCTACTTTAGTGTATTTATTTCACAAGAACAATAAAAAGACCAAGAATCCACCACCATCATGGGTGCAGCGGCCTTTGTACCCAATAATTGTTCATATCAGGAGGAGAGAGGTAGGAGTGGGATGGGATGAGATCTTGAAAATCATGGTGGTGGTGGTGGTTTGTTCTCGATTTATTCACCATCCAGCATTCGGTATCATCATTCCTCCTCCCTAATAGTACCAGAGGACCACAATAGTGGTAGCAGTACCGGGAGGAGTATGGTGGCTGCATAGAAAGAATGGGCATGATGGCTGCTGCCTCCTGGTACTGTTTGGCTGGTTCCAGCATTCTCCTTGGAAGATCTCTTCTTGTTGCTTCATGCGACCTCATTTCTAATGTAAAGTATTGGTTGTAGTTTGGCTCGAGTTCCTGGGGTTTGATCATGATACCTCCTGGGGGTAGTATTGAGTATGGGCCGGTGCTGGCGGAACAGCAGCAGCATCATGGCTGATCATCACCACCACGATCATGATGATGATGATGATGATGATACTCCAGCCACAGCCAGCAGTGGTGGATGTTCTCGCGACGTCATCTAAAAAGAATAGGATAGGTTCCAACTACAGTATTAACATTTGTTCTACGACTATACTCTATAATTGTCTTCAACATTATTCTATATTGCATTGGTCGTACCGGTATAGCCAAAGAGTATCAGCACTTTCCTTTTTCCAATTCTCCAAATACCACAATTTCTCCCATCTATCGGAGCGTCGGACAGACACGATGCCGTCATTTGAATTCACGTGGTGTTGTTGTTGTTTTAAAAATTCATCGGCATCAAAACAATTCGTACAATATACAATACCTATACTACTGTACTGTATTATATTATAGTATAATACTGTATTATATATTCCCTGTAATAATGATTACGACAGAAACCTTTTTACCTCTGCCGCACGGTGATACTTATGTGCGGATTGATTCAATAATAACAGCATCACCTGATTCAACTAATACAAATGCATCCACAACCACATTTTTGTTGGTCCACGGAGCCACGGTCCCTCATTGGCAATTTGATCGTCTCGTTCCCATTTTGCTTGCACACAACAACAACAACAACAACAACACTAATACTGCGGGCGTAACTAATCGCATCATTCGGCTGGATTTGTACGGACATGGCAAATCTGCCCGACCTCGCCATGTTCGTCATGATCTTTCCCTCTTTGTGGAACAAGTCTGGGGCGTCATTCAACATTATCAATTGGATGATAGTAGCAATAATAATCACAATAATAAGTATGATAACAATAATAGCAATGGGCAAGCAGCAGCAGCAGGTGGTGGTGGTGGTGGTAGCGGCGCTGATAACAAGTTGATTGGTTTGGGACATTCCTTGGGAGCTGCCGTCTTGGTGGGAGTCGCGTCTTCTCACAATAATTCCTCATCATCATCATCATCATCATCATCCTCACCATCATCATCATTATTATTTCATCATTTGATATTATCGGCACCCATGTTGAACTTTATGCAATTGAATCCTTCTCTCAAAGTCATCATGAGCCTTCCATGTGTGGGCGAAGTGATTATGAAATTGATTTTGGATCCCTTTTTGCGGGCGAGACGAAAGAAACGCAATTTCATCCAGTGCCAACAACAATTACAAGAATGTTTTGATGGTACATCCTTGTTGCAAATGTTTCGGGATGGTGCCTTGGGAGATCAATCCATGGTATATCAACGATTGGGTGACCAATTGCGATTGTTGTCATGTGGCAGTGGCAGTGGCATTGGTGGTGGAAACAATACCAACAATACCAACAATGACAACAACAATGACAACAATACCAATTGTACTAAAATATTGGTACTTTGGGGATCTCACGACAAGGTAGTGAATGGTCATCACATGGCTCAAATCATTGAACTGTTGGATCCCTTCTTTGGATTGGAGAATCATGATAATCATGATAACAACAATAAACATGGACGAGCATTAGTATTGGAATACGAACGATTGGGTGGATTGGAACACAATCAATTGAGCGCCGATCCACATCGTTGCGCCGAGGCCATCTTTCGTAGAATGACGGGAAATCCATCCATAATATGATATACCGTATACATAAAGACTGACTAGAGCTAGGACTACAGTACTGGTGTGTATAATATAATAAATGTTTTTCCGTTTATAGTGTTTGTGTATTTCCTTTTGCTTTGCATCCAATCCAATCCAATCCTATCCAAAATCTTCTATGTTTTCCATAATATGCAATAACACATCATCATGATTATTATGGAACCGCACGATTCTGGTCCAGAGGCATTCGAGCATGATGACCTTGGGCGCGATGATTTCCATCATGATTTTGTTGTTGTTGCTGTTGTTGCTGCTGATGGGAATGGTATTGGGCATCCTGATTGAATTGCTGTTGTTGCTGTTGTCCAGTAACAGTGCCACCAGTCGAATGGAATTGTTGTTCGGCATTGTTCATGAGATGATTTTGATTGACATTGTGAGGATGTTGTTGTTGATGCTGATGCATGTGTTGTTGCTGTGCCTGTTGCTGCTGTTGAATGATATCTTGCTGCTGTCCAGCCATTCCAGCAACATTACCAGCAACATTAGTAGTGGCAGGCAAGATACGTGCCGACTGGGCTGGATTCTTGGTAAGAATTTCGGCTCGAGTGATAGGAATGGGTTCTTCAATCATCCATTCCCATCCTTCGTCTTGATAGGTTTTACTGTTGAAAATGTATTGCATGGCTTCAATGCCTTCCACAATCATACCAAAACAAGAATCTGCTTGATGATCGAGGGCATGTTGATCTTGTCCACCGGGTCCATGAGCCTCTTCGTTATTGACCTTGTTGATGTAAAAGTCGGGTCCACCAGGACGTCCTGTAAATCCAAGAGTGTATTGAGCATGAGGATAATCGTCCGAGTAATCGGGAAAGATTAATTCTTCCAGACCCAAATCGTAAAAGTGTCCAACTCGTTTTTCTTCGTACTCTTCGTCCGACAATTCTCCACCCTCGTAATCTTCTTCCCAGACTTGGGGCCCTATTTGCAAGACGTGGGGTCCATTGAGGTAAAAGTAATTTTCGGAATTCCAGAGACCATGTTCGACTTGTTCCAAAAAGAAATGGACCGCATGAGGGACTAGATCGAGTGGAGCCATTTGAATGACCATGCGTTGTTCCGGACCCAAGTTGCCCATTCCATCGGGAATGCGAAAGTACATGGCAACCTTGTGAGGACCAGGACCGAATCTGCGTATTATGAAAAATGTGAATATGAATATGAGTATGATGTATGGTTAGTCGTTGAATACAATCCACATAATCCAAATAATACAATCCACATAGTATACATAAAAATACAACAACAACTTACCGTTCCAAAATGATCCGCTTGGCATCCTTTCTCACTCTCGATTCCAGGAGTGTAATTTGATCGTAATAGGCTTCTTCTCTCCATTCTCTAATTTCTCTCTTTTCTCGCTTGCGTGCCTTGGCCTTTTCGGATTCGTGCTTGTCTAGCAAGGTGTCACGGTGAGTAGACAATTCTTTGATCTGTTCTTGCAACAATGATACTTTGGAAGAATGCTTGTCCGTATGATCCCGAATGGAATCCTTGGCTTCTTGACGAATGGAGTACGCTCGACGGCGTTCGGCTTGAATGAATTCAATCACTTCTTGAACATTCAAGGCGGAACCGGCCTCCTTGTAAATGGTTTTCAATTGGCTGCCCTTGCTCCAATTCATGCTCGTGGCAATCAACGCCCAAAGTCCAAAGATGCCACAGGCAATCCAAGGAATCATTTGTGCCATGTCACCGCTGCCAAACATGCTAGAGCCTCCTCGTCTCTTACTGGCGTACTTGTTGTCATCGGACAACAGGCTGCTGCTGCTTGCTGGACCGGCGCTGTATCCACCGTATCCATTGTTGCTACCGGAATAACCACCGTACGAGCCACCACTAGATTGTTGTTGCTGTTGTTGATAACCACCACCACCAACGCCACCAACGCCAACACCTGCTCCACTTGCACTGCTAAAGCTTCCACTTCGAGCATACGCTGGGTCAGCCGTGTTGGTGGGCAATCCACTAATGGAGTGTCGATTTCGGAGCATTTTGTGTGTGTCTTTGTGTTTCTTTGTGTGTCTTTGTTGGATTATTTGATTATTTATAGAAAGAGGAGAGGTTCTTTCTTTTTTCTTCTTCTAGCAATAGCAATAACAATAGCAATAATACAATGCTGATTGATTTGCAAGTGGCCTTCTTTTGTTGTATTATATTATATTAATAGCAACACAAGTATACACGCACACACTGCACTGTATGACGAATGACGAATGATGATGGTTTTGGGTTTTTTTGTCACGACTTCCACTCGAAGCATTGTTGGGAGGAGTTGCCGGACAGGCATTGTAACGGTTCGAAGTATGGAACTTGTACGTATGCTTCTGTACAATACCGTACATTAGAGCGCCAGATCAGTATTCCGATCTAACTGACTATAGAAGATGATATTTTGGCCGGCGTGATAAAAAGCATGGACGGCTGCCGAGAGCGTTTGATGTATTGCATTGGAGGTCGAACATTCCAAATTCCACATGCCGTGGTGCGTCATGTCACGTCGGACATTTTGTGACATCTATATTCAATATTGTTGTTGACGATGATGACTATATTATTATGTGCGTTCTTTTTCTCAAACGTATCCAAACAAACAAAGAAACGAAGAGAGAGAGGGTTTATATTGGATGCTGTACCTGAATCGGATATAGAATGTTGGGTGCCTCCTTTCGTTCCCGACAATCTCGATTGCTGCTGGCAACAAACAACATGCACGCGGTTCTTGCTACTAGTTATTATAATTGTATTCCTAGTACAACAAGACTTCTCATTGTTGCACCAACAGCAACAACAACAACAACAACAACATCAGTTCGTGGTCGTTCGTTGGCTTCCATTTGTTATGGATCAGGCGGTGGTGCTGCTGCTAATGATGATGACGATGATGATTCTTCGATACCTCATCCTCCAATTCATCATTACAAGCCGACTGCTGATGCTGCTGAAACTGCTGCTGCTACTAGTATTATTAATAGGACTCCTACTCCTATTCTTCGCCATAGTACCAATAAGAATGCCAAAAAGAACCATGATGCCCCGTCGTCTTTGTCTTCCATCCTCATGGCGACGAGTGCCGTCAATAGTTCTCAACAACGAGAACAATACGAACAACAGCAACAACAACAACAACAAGTCGCCGAGCCACGACGAACCAATCCACCACGTCAATGGGAGAATGATGCTACTACTATTTCCAGTAAAGAAGAACAAGACGAAGAAGGAGCTTTTTGGTGGCAGAAATATTACAAACTGAAATTTCCCACCAATCCTTCCCAATTGTTCGAGTCGTCAAGTGCTCTCATACAACAACGATTGGCTGCCTCGCCGGATGTTTTGACCACTATCAATGTCGCCATTGCCACCAACCTGTGTTATTACAATACTCAGCATATTGTTATTGCAACAATGCATCATAATGACAATAATAGCAATATCAATACCAATACCAATCTGGCAGACAGCATTGTGGGACTGGACCCTGGAATCTTTGCCGGAATGACGGCAGCCATACTGGGCGTCCTCATGGTCCGTGCGGCTCAACATCATCTTGCAGCATTTCAAGCTTATTCATCTTCTTCTTCTTCTTCGGTTTGGACAACAAGACATCAACAAGAAAGGATTCGGGACGTCGTGTGGGACGAACTGCATCATGTGACACGAGACTTGGCGGGGAATACCATGATGTGGTTGTCCAATAACAACAACAACAATAACAACAACAACAATAACAATCATGAGAATGCTACTCAAGAAATGCAACAACAACAACAACAACGCATGCTATACCTCATCAAGGCCTTTCCAGTGGCGCTCCGTTGTCATTTGGATCAAACAGCAGCTAGACAGTATGATAATGAGGACGATGATATGAATGACAATGGCGATATGAATGACCGATGGCAACAACGGAATAACAACAACAAAAACAACAACAACAACAAGGACGATTATGACGAAATGTTACAGGTCTTTGATGGAGACAAATCCAATCCAGACTTTGGGAAAATCGTTACCACCTTTCAAAAGGGTCAGAATCTACCACTGGGGATTATCTCGTGGATGCGACAAATCATTGCAACGAATCATCAGGTTTATCATCATCATCATGATAATGATGTTAGTGATGCTAGTGATGATCATTATGATGAATATGCCAGTTACAATAATAATAACCAAGAAATGAATCACCAAGTGTCGCGTCTCGTGGGATGCTTGGGCAAGTGCGAGCGGTTAGCATCATCATCAACAACAACAATGACGACGACGACGACGACGACGAATCGTCCAATATCATTATTATTGCCACCCAATAAAAGTAATATTGCCAAAGACGCAACCTTGGCCTTGTATCTTTGGTCCAATATGCTTCCCTTTGCCATGTACGAATCTTTGGGATTGGCGACCATACCAGCCTCCATCTTGGTGTCGTGGGCAATTTTGGGGGGGATGGAACATGTTCATCAAGTATTGGAGAAGGACAAGGAGGAGAAGGAGGAGGAGGAAGAAGAAGAGGAACCCTTGGAAATAAGGTTGCCATTGAAGCAATACAGTCAAGATATTTGTTCCAGTGTCAATGACATTCGGGATACCTACTTGATGGGAAGAGGATTGCCTACTGCTGCTGCTGCTGCTGCTACTACTACTGCTGTTGTTGTGGACACTAGTACTAGTGCCGAGACGAATAGGATGACCGGAGTGCCTCCAAGGAAACGCCCTAATGTTCTGGACAACACCATGATGCCAGAGTTTCAAAATGGAGCATCCTTGAATGGACATGAGGACCAGCATCACAGTCACGATGAGTTCCATAGAGCAACGGCAAAGAGGATAAGTGCTCATTCCTGATTCTTCAGTGATTCAGTCATTGGTTTATATTCTATTGATTGATTGATTGAATGAATGAATGAATGGATAGAAAACGATTGAAAATCGGTGCACACCATAAGAAGCTGGATCCATAGTCGTGTCTGGGTCCTAAGGCGGTATCCGCCAGCATTGAACTGTTGATTGCAATTGTTCATATTGAATGGATAGAAATGGATTGAAAAAGATGCATGTCGGTGCACTCCAGAGGAAGCTGGATCCACAATCGTGTGTGGGTCCTACACTATACCCGCCAATGAAGTATTCAATTTGACTCCTGGATAGAAATGGTGAGCCGAATGTCGGTACACACCAAGCAAGAGCTGGATCCAAAATCGTGTGTGGGTTCTACAGTTCCTGCCATTGAGCCATCGAACTACTAATTGGAACTTTCCAAATTTTACTAGGTTTGTTGCGGGATGCAAGGCTGCTGCATGCGTGGTGGAAATAATAATACTAAGGTCGTCGGTCACCATATCAACCGTTGATGGACAATGGGGCAATGGCACGGAAATGGATGACGCTACTCCTACAAACTTTTGGCTGCTATGACCTACCGGTACGATAATTTGCCGAGTGGTGATCATATTCCTGTCTGCGCCACTATACCACTGAGGTTGCTATGAGCGACGACGAACGATGACGAACAACCACCGAGCCGGAATCAATCATACTGTGACAATTAATTAGCTGGTAGAATAGGCGTTGTATAGTAATATGTTTATGCTCTGTAAGCACCACTTGCGTGCATCAAATTTTAAACTTATTCTATATTCTACATAGACATATATTACACCAGTTGGAAGGTGTACGGCAGTATTAATGCCTATGCAGTATAGGTCTTTCGTTGGGTTTTGAATTTTTATATGCGATGGATTTTAGTCGCAGTAGTCGATCGTCCAACCGTTTTTCGATCGAACGAATGTAGAAAATAAATTTGCAGTCAAACCATTATTGGACAATGGCGGTGGAATATCTCGCGTTCACTTCATATTATGGAGGTGCCACAATCTTTTAACATGAACAAGGAATGAGAAACGAACAAAGTCGGCGTTGGTTTGCTTCGTTAGGCAATTTAGCAGCCAGATGAAGTCGGTTTCTTTTTGGCGACGACTGAAGCGTGGAAACTTTCGCAAACCGCTCCCAAACTTTCCAACAAAACGTTTCTTTCCAAGACCGTGCTGTAATCTTGCAATCTTGGAAGCACTCAGAAATGCTCATAAAAACAAAGCATCAAGCTTTTGTGTGTGATATCGAGCTTATTCCTTACCAGCAAACAAACAACTTTATCGCAACGATGTTTTCCTTCATCTTCATGAACAACAACATCATCAACACCATCATCAACACCATCACCATGCCACTTGCGTTGACTCTGATTGTCATGCTCGTCGCCGCCATGCCTGTCATTGCTCAGCAGCTCATCAGTCGAGTTGCAGTTGCACCAGCAGTCCACAGTGTCATCGCCACCCAAACCACCACCATTGTTGCAGGCGTCCGAGCCATCTTCGGATCCATTTCCATTGCTGCAGTCGGTCGAACCGTTTCCGATGCTATTGGAGGGATCACCAACATAATCAAGAGCTTTATTGGCAACGCCACCGTTCTCAACAGCCAAATCTTTGCTCTTCCAACCAGCGAAACCTATCTACAGCTCATTGTCCGAGCTCCACGCGATCTGGTCCTTATGGCCACACGAGCCATCATTGTCAGAGCCACACGAGCCATTGTCGTGAGAGCAACACGATCCTTGGTGCTCTTTGCTGCACGAGAATTGGTGCTCAGAGTTTCTACCTGTACCGACCTGGTCATTCTTGGCTCAAGCGACTTGGTTCCCTTTGGTCCACAAGACTTGATCATCAAAGTTTGTGCAGAAGCCTTGGTCCATTGCATCACACCTGTCTTTGTATTTGCGGGCCAAGAAGTCCTCAATCTTCCCATGAACCAAACCTTCAGCTCTGAGGGAAACATGATGCCATGGTCGCCATCTATTCTTCCAATCTACTCTTTTGGAATGGCCATGACCTCGGCACTTTTCAGCTGGCTCCGCACCATGATGAGACTTTTCAAGCTTACTCTCAAGACTTGCGCCCCAGTCTTTGCTGAATCGATCTTTATTTTTCTCTGGACACTTGCAAGTTTCATCTGCGTCATGACGATGCTTGCCAAATTTACTCTCAAGCGAACCATTGAAACTACCAAGGTTGGGGTCCGAGTCTTTACTGATTTGATCTCTGCTCTTTCAAGCTGGGTTTGCATGTGGATCTCGGCTTTTTCTATTGTGAGCTGCACCATGACTATTCTTGTCAAGCTTACAGTCCAGAGAATGCTTGAAAATTTTGCTGGCAAAGTCAAGTACTATTGGGTTGTGGTACTGCCGAATTTCTGCCTCAAGGTCGGATGTGATTACCTTGGACAAGGTCCTCAAAGAATCAATCCACCATCGTCTGGTAAAACAATTATTGGATCTTACAAGCGCAAGATGGCAAAGAAGCGATATGACCATAAGATCAAGGAAATGAGAGAGCGAACTGAACGCTCGTTCCGTCTCGAGGCACAAATCCCTGGGACTCGAATTAATTTGTTTCAAACCGAATGGGAATGGGCTGTCATTCGACGAACCAACGATGAGACAACCTTGCTCAGCCAAGAATAGAGCTTTTGATCGCTTGCTCAAGCAGGCCCTGCTTCTCTACCTATGACAACGCACCCACCGCTTCCACTTTGATCTTTTCTCGAACCAATCTTCTTCTTTTCAGTGTCCTTGACTTGTCAGAAAAATGTTGGCCAACACTTTGCAATCGCAACTGACTATGTTAGAGGACCCTGGAAGATGAGGATGCTTCCGTGAAAGATCCTTGTGGTTGCGGCCTATTTGAACATATTTTCCCTGCTGAAGGATCCTGCTCCAACCAAGAGCCGCCCTACTGATGTCCTTTCCACCGCTGCTGATACCTTGCTTCGATGCAACGCGTCTATGAAATGATAGTTGCAGTCGTAAAGCTTTCATATCGGTAGGATACTGCTCCGACAGAGAGCTACTACCCATGTCCTTTCCACTGGAAGGATACAGCTCCAAAATAGAGCCACTCCTCATTTCTTTTCCACCGCGATTGGTACCTCGCTTCGATGCAACACGTCTATGAAATGATAGTTGCAGTTGTAAAGCTTCGGACCGGTCTGTGTGCGAAGGAAGGAATACAACACAATACAAAACATACTACAATCATGGCTACAGTCGAGCCAAATGTCAAGCCACAGTGCACATTCAAAAATAGAATGCACGGCGCAATAAACGACACATCCGTTGTCAAATACATACAGATACAGCATATGCTGCGCTCATCAACGAAAAAGAAAAACAAGAACGCGTAATATCAAACATAAAAAATCAATATATTTGAAACATAACATCAGCCATTTCTTATTTTAAATAGTCTACAGGCAAGAATTTTGCTTATTGTACCCATCAATCGTACGTAATTGCTTTCTGTAATGCCTCGTTACAAGGCCCGCTTCTCATAATCCTGCACTTCCATTGTGGACTTGGACAGTTCTCTATTCTCCAAATATCACAAAATACGGCTTAGAAATTATGGAGCACCCTTCTCAAGTATCCTTGACTAGATCCAAATGGTGTCTCATCATCGTCGCTCTTGGCATTCTTGATGTCACCGCCCTTCTCGACAAGCAAGTTGACTACGTCCAAGTGACGCTCACGGCATGCCTTGTGCAATGCTGTCTCTCTCGTCTATATGATGTGCCTTCGACGGTGGCCTTGTTGTTGTGAACATCAGGCAAGTTCTAGTCATGATGCTGTCCTGATGATGCCGCAAAGGACTCATAGTACCAACTCAAACGCAGTGTAGCAGCGAGTCAATCATACTATATACATGACTACTAGTGCTGGAAATAGACAGTACTCCCACGATTAATCAGGCTTACAGTAGCATGTGCACGTTCAAACATTCGTGGACGTAGTAGTAGTTCCACTGAAGTCTTCGGAAGGGTGCCTAGTGCTGCTATTTCCAGTTGTCCTCCTCTGCTTTTTTTGTTTTTGAGAAGTACTGTTATGCGTACTCGGATTGTTTTCTCAGTGCTTTGTATTGGCTGGTATCCAAGAGGTTGAATAGTACAAAAATAAACGGGAGAGCGAGCTTCCATGCAACTATGGTCGACTCTCTCCTTGAGCCAAGATACACTCCCACAAGAGCAAAAGGTGCAACAAAATGTGCAAGCAAGAAGACGCCGAACCCAAGTTTCATGAATTGAGCCTGCTTCCGAGCAGTCTTACTGATGAACAAGATATCAGCACCAACAATGGCTTTGGATTCCCAGCACTCGCCACAAGTAGTTTGGTTCCGGATGAAAGCTCTGTTCATCCTGGCAACAAAATCAAAGAAGTATGAAAACTTGGCCAAGCCCTCCATGATGGCGCCAGTGACAAACAGGGACGGATCGTTCAAGAAGAAAGAGGAGGAAGAAGACCATTCTATTACCAATAGAGCCCAGATCGAAGCCACGGCATGGTGGATCAACCGGTCCCTTCGAGAATGAACAGTCAGCTGAAGGGCCCGATCCACCTTTTAATGAGCGTCACTTTAGCAAAAGGCAACATTTCAAGAAAGAAGATTTGGTCGCCCTGGTGGTCACCAACGTGAAAAACTTGATAGCACCCATACATGACTATTGGGTTCCAGTATGAAAGCACAATCGTCATTCATTGGTTTGGCTAGCAATTGGAAGGTCTCGCTATGCTCTGCCAGTAGCTTTCCGGTGGAAACATGGAGGATCATTCTGGTGTAGGCATAGCCAATGATCAGAGTCATAGACCGATTTGTTAAGACTTCCGCTTGTCGAGCGTTGGGTCGGAGGCGCATTTCGTAAAGGTAAAGGAGTGAAGCACTGCTTCCTCCAAAAAGCAGCGAGATAACTAGCATCCATATCTGAAATATTTGGAGGTTCCAAGTAGTAGTGGTAGTATTTGTACGGCAATGATGCTCAACGTCATCAATCTGCTGCTGTTGCTCGTGTGTCTGAGTCGTTTCACTGGATGTCATGGATGCTAAAATATGATTGGTAGTTTTGTGCATGAGACCGCCGGTCAAGTTTGAGATCTGGTATGCTCAATATCGTATCTACGTTACCTTCGAACTTATTTTCTTCAAGAAGCAATGTGTGACTGAGTTTTAATTTGTAATTCATTGCTAACGGATTTAATAGTGAAACGCACGACTGCGCGAGGTACCGGTAGACGTAAATCACCGCACGAGTCGCATGCGAATGCGTGATTATTTTTTCAGTATATTCCTGGATCATCGTCGATGACATTCGATATCCGTCACGACTTGACGAAACATGCTTCGCCTTTTGAAACCCGTACATGGTTTGGAAAGATACTGTACGAGTGCTGCTGATTCATCATCACAAAGTCTTCTGCCTTTATTCTTTGTCTTTCCGCTTGAATTCTCCTGAATTCAAACCCTTGAGCAGATTCAGAACTCAGAACCTTTTGAAGTTTACAAGCACTCATCACAATCATCATGCCCTTCTACCAAGTGTCTCCTGGATTTGGCGGCGATTGTCAAGTCCGCAATCAAGGTCGTAGACATCGGTTTCATCACCATCCTCATCATCATGGGCCACCTCCTCCTCCTCATATGAGACACGTGTCTGGACGACGAGGACCTCGATCCATGATGCCTGCAAATAAGGACACCAACGAGTCGCCTTCTGAGGAGTCTAAATGTGCTGAATCCAATTCCTTTTCGGATTCGAATCAGCATCCGCATCATAAGCATCATCATCATCATCATGGGCCTCCTCCTCCTCCTCCTCACATGAGAGGACCCATGTTTGGAAGACGGGGACGCCGATTCAGCAACGTGCCCCGCAAGTCACCAGAGGAAACAAAGACTGAGCAACCAGAAGGATCCAAGTCACCAGAACACGATGGAAATCTCCATATTCCTTTTTGGGGAAATGGCCCTCATCGCCACAGTAGTCCTCCAGCAGGTCCTTCTCATTTCCATCGGCGTCATCGTCACCGTCACCGAAACCATCATCTTCACAAAAAGATGATGCTTTTGTCTCTGTTGCAGGGTCAGCAGCATGCCATGGATAAGTTCGAACAAAGTCACAACAATGGTAGTGAAAATTTCAAATCGGGTGCTGCTAGAAAGACATCCCATCCTGCACCACCATCTGCACCACCATCTGCACCAACAATCATGCAAGTCCCCCAACAGTGGCATGTTGAAGAAACCGAAACCTCACTGATTGTATCTATCGATGTTGCTGGATTTCGCCTGGAGGATCTCGAGCTCAAGGTCGAGCACGGTGTCTTGGCTTTATTTGGACAACGAATCAATAGTCTTGGCGATATCTTTGAGTTGAATCGCACCAAGATGCTCGATCCTACCATGTTCGATGAGGCTGGTATCGAAGCAAGATGCGACAATCAAGAGGACGGTGCTACCTCTATTCTTAGTATTACTATTCCGAAGAAAGAATACATTCGTCAACAGGATACGATCCCCATTCGTCGTCGTGTTTCTGAAGAATCTAATCCAGAAGACTTGGAACCAGCTACCACTGTCGTGACTGCTATTCCGTCCGAAAAAGATCTGACAGAGAATACATCATCTGATCGCCTCGAAGAGAGCATCGTCTTTGTTCCCGAGGCAGAAATTATCGAGGAAGAATCTTTGGATCAAGTCCAAGTCGAGACGGTTGATGAAGATTCAGTTGAAGATGCTTCCATCGCCCGAGAACAGTTGCCACGATCCGCCACCACCTCCCAATCCGTGACATCCTCGGATACAACCCAGTCCTGGGAAGATCTCAATATGGACGGGAAGGAGTAATTCAGAAAGACCAAAGTGAAACATCTCGGAAGGGAATTGGTTTTTTATTCTAGCAGTTATAGTTTTATTTTAAAATATTGCGCATAATATTATTATAAAACGTTGACTTAGTTGTAGGACAAGGTTGGTTTTATTGAGGAGATAACGAAGTGCATGGTCTCGTTGAACTCATCTCTCGTTGGATTTTTGGTCTCGTCGCACTTGCATGGTGAAAGGGCATTCTTTGTTTCAAAAATGCGAATAAAATATTCGCATTCTGTGACACCCTCAGAGCCAATATTGTACCGGAAAAAACAGCAATGGATATCCGTTAGGTGAAAAAAAGCTAAGGAGAAAAAATCTTTCAAATCGCACACATTTTCCGGTCACGAATGTGGGGTTCACAACGATGATAGATCCAGAACCAACGCACCAACGCACCCTTGAACTCTGTTAGATGCAACATTTTTATCTTCAGGATGAACAAGTCACAGAGCATACCAATATCAACATCGACATATCTTCGCCATGAGGATATACTACGGCAACAACAAGGCCACTGGGAATACAGAGCCTTGATGGTAAACGCCGACTTGACAGATTATATGTTTTACAGTCGACTAATCACCGGAATTGCAAAGACAATCGAGGCTTCCGAAAGTACCAAGCTACGGCATCAGAACCAAGCACTGGTCGACCATATTCACTACATACGTCATACTCAAGTGTCCTCTCAATCGTCGAGGAGAGACGAAGAAGAAACTGATAACAAGGGCAGCAGGAATCATGACGAGGACGAAGCGCTAATATTTGAAATCGATGTATAGAAAATTCGAGAATAATACAGCAATAGAACAAATCATCACGCTAGCACATATAATAGCCATACAAGTACTGCGACTTTTCAAAGGGTTCTTGGGTATTGTTTAGAATGCGAATATTGGTGCACTTTTTGAATTTTTTGAAATCAATGCGTTCGTTTACAGGGACCGCTTTAAGAAACAAAAAAAATGTCAAAACCTGAAAAGACAACAGAGCCATTTTTACGACTCAAGCTTTAGATATTGAAGATGCTCCAAAAGACACAAACAAGACCTCCAATCCTGCATGCAGATTTTTTCATTATTCACTTTTTAAAAACTGTTTCGCTCCCTATTTAACATCGGATGTCGTTCGAGTACCACAACGTGAACATGCCGATAGAAACGCTCGGGCTTTGGATCGGAAGGCTTAGTACACTTAAGCAAATTGCAAATGAAGAATTGAACCAGACAATAACCATGGCCACCTCACACCTCACCATATAAATGCCAAAGCATACGTATGCATTTGCTTTGATCAGAGCAGAATTGTTCGAACTGTTTTGTCACCTGGTAAAAGGACTGAAAGGAGCCATTCAATCCAAATATAAACGCAAGAAGACACATAGTACCTACTAACAGGAATTGGAATCGTTACAATGCCACATAAAGGGAAAGCCCCCTCCTCCAGAAGACACAAGTCAGGATCGTCTCGCACGTCCTCTGGACGATCGAATGCGAAAACACGAGAAGCTGGTGAAGATCCTTCCGAACCATCCCACGCATCCAACCTTGAGAGGAGTGAGAGAAGCACTCATTCTAATCACATATCTTCTTCTCATAGATCCGCTCCAAGATCACCCAAGAAAGATCCTGAGCGTCACTCTCGCGCATCTTCTGGACGGTCGAAAACACGAGAAGCTGGCGATCCTTCCGAATCATCTCACGCATCCAACCTTGAGAAGAGTGAGAGGAGCAGTGAAAATACTGCGGAGCTTAGATCTGGTCGTAGATCTCCTGCTGGATCCGGAAAAGGTTCTCGAGACTCTGCTGATCGCAAAAAGAAACGAAGCGGCCCAAGGGCAACCAAACCTGGTGCAATTTCTTCAACTTCAAGCAGGCATTCGGATGCTAAGTCATCCAAGCCAGGCGCCACTCCCGGAAAAGCTAGCAGCAATGCTGATGTTCGAAAAAAGGAACGGGGCGCTACCAAGGCATCCAAGCCAGGCGCCACTCCCGGAAAAGCTAGCAGCAATGCTGATGTTCGAAAAAAGGAACGTGGCGCTACCAAAGCATCCAAGCCAGGCGCCACTCCTGGAAAAGCTAGCAGCAATGCTGATGTTCGAAAAAAGAAGGAGCAACGGTCGACCCCATCATCAAACTCAGGTGTTGTTTCTGAAGATCTGATGACAAATCGCGAAAGACAAGAAGAAGAATGGGCTGTTAGCTCCTCGCTTCCGTCACCAGAGGCTTTCAGTGATGGGAACTTGCTGGAGGCGACAACTGTGGACGATAACTTAGAAGCACCAGAAGTGGTGCAAATGAGACGCGAGTTTGAGCAAAAGGAAAATAGGCGTCAACAAGAAATAGAAGAACTCAATCAGCGACTAGCTAAGCAAGAAAAGCAAAAAAAGCGAAGAAATCGGATTATCTTTATCGTAATAGCCTGCTTGGTTGTTCTCATTGGTGCCGGGGTCGGGGCATACTTTGGTCTCAACAAGGACACAAATACAGAAGACTCTATTACTACAAATGGAAACGCCGAAGATCTGACTACAGCACCATCATCTGTTACGAACGGCGGCAACAACGGTGCATCAAGCACACCCACAAACGCTGCTTCCAACGGTCCAACCGTAACCCAACTGTACCAACCACCTAGTGACGACAACTGTCTCGCTATCTCTAGGAACGAAACCATCGATGGACAGGGAGACTTGGATCAGAGCGAGTTTGATATGGCCTTTGATGTCACTTTGGAAGCGAATGGCGACATCACTGATCCGCAAGTCCAAACTTTCTTGGATGCTATTCAAGAGACACTTCTTCCAACGCTGGCTGGATGCTCCGGCCCGAAGATCAATCGTCGAGATCTTCTTGCCAAGAACGAGCTGCCAACAATCAGAGCGGTTGCAGCACAGCCCAGACAAAGACAGCTTGCAATTGGGGAAAATCGGTTTGTGATCTTCAATGCATTTGTCACGGGACGAGAGGATCCCGATGTGGTCTGTACCAACACCCAGGATTCGAACCGCTGCCACAGAATTGTGGTGAAAGTATCCGCCATTTTGAAAGGGCCCGTCCAGCTAATGGACATTGTTGTTCTGACCTCTGCTCAAGTAACGGAAAAACTGAAGGAAGATGAACAAGACGATGGCAACTTGAAAGATCCGTGGGGATTGGGCAATCCATTCTCCGAGGTACACTTGGTCAATATTGATAACCAGTCTGCAACAAGTGCTCCTGTGCCAATGCCGACCATAGATCCAGGCGAAGATTCATCACCAACTCCAACGGTAGAGACAACTTTGATTCCTACACAAATGTCGGCTTCGGGATTGACATCACAAGCTCCAAGCTCTTCACCATCAATGATCACGCCAGTCCCATCAGTGAACCCGTCCGCGGCTCCTGTGACTGGTCCAACGCAGCCTCCATCTGCACTTCCGAGCATCATGCCATCTGATACGCCAAGTCTACGTCCTTCATCCTTTCTGTCTTCATCACCTACACTGGCTCCAGTGGTGGGTCCAACTCTTTCGCCATCAAGCACACCATCAAGAGTACCATCGGTAGTACCAACTTTGTCTCCAACAGCTACCGCAAGTGAAGTTCCATCCGCTTATCCTTCAATCAAACCAAGCATAGTTCCATCCGCCAATCCATCAATCAAACCAAGCATGGTTCCATCTGCCTATCCTTCAATCAAACCAAGTATGGTTCCATCTGCCTATCCTTCCATCAAACCAACTATGGTTCCATCTTCCAGTCCCAGCTTGATTCCATCTGTCTCCCCATCAACGAACCCCTCGCAACCATGCTTTCAAAGCAGCAGCGAACTCAGCAGTGAAGTCAACAACTTTTTTGGTACCGCATTGCAAAAGGCAGCAGTCGAGAACACATATGGCCCTATCGGAGACTGGTGTTTTGGTGCAGGTGTGACCAGTATGAGTCAACTCTTCAAATATCGCGCTTTCAATGATGACATTTCGAATTGGGATGTTTCTTCTGTCACTGATATGGGAGAGATGTTCAATGGTGCATCATCCTTCAATCAAGACTTGTCATCGTGGGATGTTTCTTCTGTTACCAATATGGCACTGATGTTCTACGAAGCATCATCCTTCAGTGGAGACTTGTCATCGTGGGATGTTTCTTCTGTAACTACGATGTCTTTCATGTTCCGCCGGGCATACTCTTTCAATGGAGACTTGTCATCTTGGAATGTTTCTTCTGTCACTAATTTGAGTTTCATGTTCAGAGATGGGTCCTTCAATCAAGACATATCGTCATGGGACGTTTCTTCTGTAACTGAAATGAGTTATATGTTCTGGAATGCAAGAGCTTTCAACCAAGACTTGTCATCCTGGGATGTCTCTTCGGTCACTGCTATGCGGGGGATGTTCCAAGGTGCAACATCCTTTGACAAGAATCTTTGTTCGTGGGCCTCGCGTCTGCCGAGCAATGCCCACGTTCTCTATGCGTTTACTTCTACCCACAGCTGCCCTTCATCAGACCACCCAAGCCTCTCTGCAAATCCAAAAGGTCCATTTTGTCATTTATGCTAACGAGAGATATATATGTATATAGTCAATCATCACCTTTTTAAAAAAAACAATATGATTCAAATAACCAACTATCCAAACATCTGCATCATAAACGCAAGCAATATAGCTAATAATTGGTACCTGCTGGTATTACGGTATGGTGAGAAGAAGGTTTTAGTTGCCCGGTCGGAAGAGAAGAGTCTTGCACCCAAAAAGGCCCTGTGGAGGTCTTTGGTGGTGGGTTTGTGCCTGGCTACTGCTACCGGTACTGGCCATCGTGTTGTGGTGTTCTACTTTTAAAGAAGACATTTCTAACAGAAATATTTCTTCTGTTCTTAACATGAGTATCAAAACTTGTCATCCTGGGATGTTTCGTCTGCCACAACCATGATACAACAGGAGATGACGAGTTTGCAGCTACCGGAGCATATGGTGTACCTATACGGTTAGAGTCAATTTGTTAGGCTCTTAACATAGTCGCTAGTCGCATATGAAAAAATTTCGATCGAATGAATCAATCGACAGAAAGAAGAACCTCCACGTACATATAGTACCGGTATATTGACGTTTGATCAATGCAACGTTTATTTATTTTTATTTTTCAAACTCTTTCATTTCTAAAATATGTTTCATCAATATGCTTCGGCTCTTCGAAACAATCGGTGATGAAAGCATGCAGTTGCTTCTCTCATAAATCCTTTCAACTGAGAAAAGTGGATTTCGATTCAATTTCAATTCATTTCACCTGACCACAACCATTACAACAACGCTCTGAACCCGTCACTGTTCAACGACCCTCGATTGAAGGCTGGTATTTATGCCCCACGTCAGCGACGCAGAAACAGCGGCTACCATCATTCTGCTCACAGCAGCACCAGTCCCCCAGCCGTTCCATTCTTAGACCAACAAGTCATTATGGAAGAGATTATGAAGAACAAGAATCGCCACCGTCAGCAGCATCCACAACACCATGGCGAAACACCTGTTGGTACGGTACTCAAGATGATGGCTTTGAGTTTATTGTATTTCCTCCTCACGCCATGAACAACCGTCGTCGCAGCAAAATCGCGAATGATTGCAAGCAGGACGACTTTCGAATGCCATGCCAATAAACACCATCGCCAGCACTTACACCAACTTCCAATCCATGCGATGCAAAGCGAACAAGGGCTGCGGCTAAACCATCCGATCCGCTAATTACGGTGGCGTGTGTTGTCTGCAAGCCGGAACGTCTCAACAAAGAAGAAAACAAGAGAAACAATCAGCATCACCCCAACCAGTCGATCCACTCTTTGAGTTGCTCCTTTTGAATGCGGCTTCAGCGAGCCAGGAACGAAATCAATAACTAAAGTAAGAGAAAACATGTGCAGCATTCAACGAGTCGATCCACTCTTTGAGTTTAATTCTCTTCGCGAATGCGGCTTCTACAAAGCCTTATCGTCAACACTCCTCTGAAGAGGCTAGGCTTTCGAAGCTACTGGAGGAGCGACAACATGCGATGAAGGAGCAAAGGGTTGGGCAACCAAAGCAAGCAACGAACCAAAGAAGACAGTGACGTTTGGTACCCACAGTGAAGCAGTCAAAGAGACTGACCAAGCCTATTGGTGCTTTCTATTGACGTTGCTGGCTCTAGCACGAACCAATTTGAATCTTCAATTCGATCCCGTTCGTCGATCAAATGCCATGCATTCGACCTTGGAGGCCAAACGTACGAATGCCTTGAGACAACTTTGGGAGCTCGAGCGTACAAAGACTATACCGGTACGTCTACAAAAGAAATGGTGTGGAAGCAAGCTGCAACGACAACATTTTGCAAATCAAGAAAACTACCGGTATATCCAACAAACTCGAGCCAGCCGTATCATTCCTATTCGTGCTTCTCACTAGTAGGAGAAAGAAGAGAAAAACTTGAGATGAAGTCGTCGTATTGAAGAAGAATCCAATCTAGCAGAAGACTTATTGGAACCAGTTTCTACTATCGGGGCAACTGTGCCTTATTCTGATAAAGAATTGAAGGAGAATAATTTATCTGATCGCCCCGAAGATAATATCGTCGTTGTTCTTGAGGCAGAACTTATGTGCAAATGAAGAATCTTCGGATCGGGTCGAAGTCGAAACGGTTGAAGATTTTTCAATCCCTCCAGAGAATTAGATGACGACCTCGCAATCCGCGACATCCTCGAACAAGAAACTCACTCCTGGGAAGATCTCAATATATTGAACGGGAAGGAGTATAAAATAACTCGTCATCAGGAAGACCGCAAAGTGAATTATCGATGAAATTGCCGTGACTATTTTCTTCTCTTCCAGGAAATAGATTTGAATTGCGCCCCTAGCACTTTTATTGAACGGCTACGTAGGTAGTTGTACTGTGGGGGGATTGGACTTGTTGGTCTTACGGCTTACGGGACTGTGGTCGCGTTGCACTTGCACCGTCAAGGGGTTTTCTTTGTTCAGAGTGCGAATACTGCACAGTGGCATCTTTCTGACATCTTCGGAAGGCAAATGTCGTACAGAACAAAGACATAGCCAGAGATGTCCATTAAGTAGAAAACAGCAGAGGAGAAACAATATTAATCGCACAATAACTTCCAGTCAAACTCCCAAAAATATCTCACGAATTATGTGGGGTCCACAACAAGCGGCAATCGATAGTCAATATAATCCAGAACCAACCCCTTTTGAATCTCTGTTAGATGGACCGTTGTTATGATTACGATGAACAAGTCGCAGAGCATACCAATATCACCATCGTCGTATCTTCGCCATGAGGATATGATACGTCAGCAACGAAGCCATTGGGAATACAAGGCCATGATGGTGAACGCTGACTTGACAGATTATTTGGTTTACAATCGAATAATCATCGGGATTGCAAAGACAATCGAGGCTACCAAAAATGCCAAGCTACGGGATCAGAACCAAGCATTGGTCGATCACATTCACTACATCCGTCATACTCAAGTGTCTTCTCGAGCGGTGAGGAAGAGAGAAGCGGACGATCTAATCAGTAGGAAGCAGGACGACGACGAAGCGCTAATTTTTGAAATGGAAATATAGAACATTAGACAATAATACAACAACAATAGATAATTCATCATGCTAATAGTCCTACATAGACATAGTGCGACTTTTTTCAAAGGCTTCTTCGTTGTTTGGAATGCGAAAAGACTAATGGCGCACTTTTTGCATTCTTTGAAACGTTTTAACGCCTTTGTGCGAAACGACGTCAAAAACACAGCAATGCCATCACATCATAAAGTGGCAATCGATGGTCAATCCAAACTTTGTCGGATGAACCATCGTCATGGTTAGGATGAACAAGTCACAAAGCATACCAATATCAATGTCATCATATCTTCGCAATGATAGACTACAAGAGCAGCAAAGCCAATTGGAATACAAGGCCATCATGATGAATGCGGACTTTAAAGATTATAGATTTTACAGTCGAATAGTCATCGGAATCGGAAAGACACTCGAGACTACCGAAAATGCCAAGCTACGGGATCAGAACCAAGCACTGATCGACCATATCCATTCCATCCGACACACTCACGTATCTGCTAGAGCGTCACCAGAGCCTGATGATGTTAGCAGTAGGATTCTAGACGAAGATGATTTTTTCATATTTGAAATGGAAGATTAAAACGGTGGGCAATAATAGTTATACAACTATAGACAAGAATGCTAGTGCTACAGAGTGCTGAGAGTGATGTTGCCAGTCCGTGCAGCCACCACCAGCCACCCAAAATGATGCATCATGACACCTAGTCCCCTTTAATGTTTCAGTTTTACAAACATTACATTATCAAGTCCTATTCGAGTTGATAATGTTCTGATGCTTTTAGATGGTTCGATACGTTCCGATCATAAGATACGATACCGGTACACAAAGATACGATGCTTTCGACTCTTTTGACTTGAAAAGTGCAGTCGAGTAAGTCGCTTACGTGGAAGATTTCGATCGAAGCTTCACGACAAGAACTTCACCTCCACGTTTCATCTTTCGATGCACCTCTTCCCATCTCGAAGAAGTTCCAAACATGATACGTTTCACCATTATGCTTCGGCTCTTCGGATCAATCGGTGATGAAAGCATGTAGTTGCTTTTCTCATAAATCCTTTCAACTGAGGAAAAAGAATTTAATTCAATCCATTCATATACCCAACCATACAACAACGTTCTGAACGATGCAATTTTACTTTCAACACCCGTGTCTGCTCAACGACCCTCGATTGAAGGATGATATTTATGCCCCACGTCAGCGACGCAGAAACAGCGGCTACTATCATTCTGCTCACAGCAGCACCAGTCCCCCAGCTGTTCCATTCTTAGACCAACAAGTCATTATGGAAGAGATTATGAAGAACAAGAATCGCCACCGTCAGCAGCAGCATCCACGACAACATCGCGAAACACCTGTTGGTACCCAAGATGATGGCTTCGAGTTTATTGTATTTCCTCCTCACGGCATGAACAACCGTCGTCGCAGCAATAACATGAATGATTGCAAGCGGGACGACTTTCGAATGCCATGCCAAACACCATCGCCAGCACCAACTTCCAAGCAACCAACGGCTGCAACCAACCTAGCCGATCCTTTCTTTGAAATGGTTTTTGCCGGTGCACCTTCTCAGTCCCGTGAACGTCAGCAACCGCCGGAACGTCCACACCAAGCGCCAAAGCAAGAGAAGAAGGCAGCTCCCAATCCAGTCGATCCACTCTTGGAGCTGCTCTTTTCGAATGCACCATCTGCGAACCAGGAACGTCCGCAACAGCAGCCCAAGCAAGAGAAGAACTCAGCTGCGCCCCAGACAATCGAGCCACTCTTGGAGCTGCTCTTTTCGAATGCAGCTTCTGGAAAGCCTCGTCGTCGTCAGCACTCGCCGGAAGAGGCTACTCTTTTGAACTTGCTCAACGCACAACAGCGTGCTCAGAAAGAGCAAGACAAGACAACCCAAGCAACCAACGAACAACCGAAGACTGTTACCTTTGGAACCGTCTCTGACAATCATTCCAATACCAATGCAGTCTATCAGCTTCCTCAGCAATGGCACATCCAAGCGACTGACCAGGCCTTGATTCTGTCTATTGATGTGGCGGGTTTTGGCACAAACGATTTGAATCTTCAGGTCGATCCCATCCGTCGTCGCTCGAATAGTATCAGTACCATGCAACTGACCTTGAAGGCCAAACGTACGAATGCCTTGGGCCAAATTTGGGAGCTCGAGCGTACCAAGACTTTGGATGCCAACCTCTACAAAGTAAATGCTGTGGAAGCAAGTTGCGATGACGACATTTTGCAAATCACCATTCCAAAGAAGACCATCCAACCTACTACTCGAGCCAATGGAATCATTCCTATTCGTGCTTCTAGAACACCAACAACAACACCAACAACAACTACTACTACTCAAGAAGCGGAACAAGAAGAGAAAACTCAAGATGAAGAGGAGGTTAAGCTGATTGGACTTCCAGATTTTCTAGCTGCCATGGCTGCTCAATATGCCGAAGAGCAAGAAGAGAAAGATGAAGACCAAAAAGAAGAGATGACTAGTGTTCCAATATCGCTGGAACATCAAATGGAGGCCAAGACTCAATTGGAAGCCCTGGCTGCTGAATTCAAACAAGCCTACGAAGCTGCACTCTCGAAACCATCTTCCGCTGTAAATGACGCAAAAGATGATTCTGGCGCAAGCGTGGGCGTCAAAGAATCGAACCAGGTGACACTACAAGAGAAACTTGATCGCTCCAACAGCGGATCCAATGCCTCGAACGATAGTAGAAACGAAGATGCTCCTACAGCTGAATCCGTTGTTAAACCAGTTGCATCCTCGGAGGGAGTCACTCAAGAGAAGGAGGGGATTGTCGAAAGTGAGGAGGCAACAGCATCCTCAATGCCTGATTTGATAGCGGATACTTCTGAAAACGAAGTTCTTGAAGTCAAGCGTGAAGATTCAAGCAATGGAAATTATGTCCCTGTTGCTGATCATTGTTTGGCTGAGACCATAGATCATGATATTGACCCCAAGCTGGAGAGTAATGGAGAATCTTTCGATGTTGTTGATTCGAAGGAAGAGAATGACAACGAATCCTGGGAAGATGTCAGTGCCAAAGGATAATTGCGTTTGACGTCTCCTCCCAAAGAAAATTGAGAAACTAATCTATGTTATTACTGATAGTCTACACGTGTAGTGCACGCAACGTTTCAATTCTCGAACGCTTTTCGACTACCGGTACAGTAGTAGCTCTTTCTCTTTCGGTCCCACTCCAAGACGCCGCAAAGCAGGATTGGATTTGTACCGGTACATCTTTGGATTGCGGTTACTTATATAGATCATGGAAGAAAGTTGGCAGACCGTTTTAGCGCCAATAATGGACTGCCAGCATCAGCGGACGACTCAAAAGTTTGGCGTCAGCGGCCTCAAAAGTTTCGTTTCAAAAGCCTCTTGATCTCAAGTTTTTTTGTTTTGTGTGGCCTGAAATGGGTGTAGTTGGATTTAATTTATTCGCAGATTCGTTTTGGACCAATCACTATCCTAGCTAACATATATAAAAAATGGTTCAATTTTTACACGTGTGTATCGGGCGAGTGCGTATGTTATTGTGTGGACAGGAGCAAATTTCGTTATTCGCAGATTCGTTCTCGACCAATCGCGTTCCTCGAATGAATCTGACACGCGGCAGAGTTTTTCGAATATAGTTGGAAAAACTTGCAGGCAGCCACGTAGCTCGTGTCTGCGGGACCTTTGAATCTGTCATGAGATTCACGAAATTCGAATCGAATTCAATTCATTGACAACCACGCATATTCAATATAGCACTCATAGTCAAAAATTGAAAATCACAAGACCATAAAATCCACAAGATGATGTCTTCCAAATCTCAAAGCATCCCAATTGCTCCCTCGCGCTACCGTCTTCTGGAGCAACGCTACATGCAAGAAGAACGAGCTGCCATGATCCAAGCGGACTATGACGATTTTCTTCTTTATCAGAGGATTGTGGGTGGAATTGAAAAGACGCAAGAAGCCACACAATGTACCAAGCTACGAGATCTGAACCAGCAGCTGATCGATCACCTTCACTATATACGCCATGCTTCATCTTCTTCGAGAAGAACCTACACTACAGGAGCATCGCCTCCTTCTCGGATTTCTGATTCCGCTCGTCCACATCAGCCATCAAGGTGGAATTTTCTTCCCAGAGATGACTGTGATGAGTACGCATTTGAGGAAGACTATCAACAGGATGGTAGCATCGAATGTATGCCTACACAGAGCGATAGTTTTGCTTCCGTTGACGACGAGGAAACACTCATTTTTGAGTTGGATTTGTAAACGGCCGATTCACGAATGAATTCTTTCATCATTCACTTTTATATTACATAGTGCCAAAAGCTTGGCGCAACATAGACACATTATAGAACAATAAACAACAAACAACAATTCATTATTACTGCAATTCGTATTTTAGATGCTTATAAGAAACAGCAAATGGTGTAAAACGCTGTGAAAACTCATCATCATCCACACACACTACAGATACCGAAGGATCGAAGTAGTCGAGGGTCTTTAGTAATCTACTTCATTTCATTTCATCGCCTTTTGGAGCAACAGTTCAATTTAGATCACTTCAATTCCAGATACAACCATTCTCATCACAGCAATGGGTGCAACACCGACATAAAACTTTGGGACTCGTCCCTCTGCAATCAGCAAAGAACTCTTCGTAGTCCAACAGCCCAGTGCCACAAAATACACTTTCCACTTCCGTCACGTTAGTCCCATCCAGGAACAAATTCGTCAGCGAGAGCTTGTTGTAAGTGCTTGGAACTGTTCCAGTCAATCCAACATTGTTGTGGACGGAAAGATAATACAACTGTAGCATATTCGATAACTTTTCAGGCAACGGACCCGAAAGATTGTTGTATTCCAACGAAAGATAAAAAGCAGATGTCAAGTCGCCGAAAGATTCTGGTATCACGCCAGTAAACTCGTTGTGTCCAAGGTCAAGCTCTTCGATACCAGAATTCGCTGCATTATCCATGGTCCCGTTCAGAGCATTGCCGAGTAGATGCAGCGACGACAAGGAGGGAGCTTGCAAGATTTCACTGGGAAGCGTTCCCGTGAGATCGCAATCGACAATCGAAACTGACTCCAGCTCGGGCAAGAGAAAGAGTTCACCTGGCAACGTCCCAGTGATTGCATTGTTTTCTACCAAAAAACTCGACAAGGATGAAAGCAAGCCTATCTCGGACGGAATTGTTCCTATAGCTTCTACTTCATCTGTGGCAATTCAAATAGCTAATACATAAGGCAACAATATATGGATATGGAAATGGTCAAATCTCTTGCAGACTTACCCAGGATTAGACCAGACACCAATTGTCCTCCACTGCAAAGTACTCCATAGATTTCACACTGTCCAATGGAATCGCAGTCTTCCACTTGCCAATCACAAACACGACGGTCCAGGTCGACAAAAGATTCAGATTCATTCCAGTTTGGTCCACCTAACGAAAAGTAGAGGACTGACATGGCGTAGCGTTCGACCATGATTTGGTCCGCATCTGGACTTTCGGGAAATGCTGTCCTCCATGTATCCTCATTGGCCAACCAGTCCAGTGCTCGGTGCTGCGTCGACTCGGTATTCTCCCATGGGGTCACATCATCGACGTACTGGGAAAGCAGTGCTTGCAACGCGGCCATTCGAGAGGTTGGGGAAGCAGTCGGAACTAGTGAGATGGTTGCTGTTGTAGTGGGAGAGTCAGTTTCAATTGGAACATCGTCATCATTATTCTGCAAAAACAGCAAGCTCAATCCAGCTGCAAGAACGACAATAATGACGACGAGCACGCAAATGATACCTTTCACTCGGCGACTTGAAAAGTCCCATCGTGGCAAGTCACTTTCGTCCATCGGTACAGCGGTAGTCGCCGCCACGGATTGTGGTGACGTCGGTGCTTCCATTGCATCGTCGTGGTCCGGTACTAGTACAGCATCCACCAACGGCGAGTGTGCTTCCTTTTCCTGCGGCTGGTCATCGTCAATCCCAACTTGGATGGTTCGATCATCTTCTGGCACATTGGCTTGGGTCTGCTGGCCCACCATGGCCACAGCTCCCGGTGTCGACGGCCGCAAATGGTTGAGCCGGTTCAAAACCGGAGGCGCAGGTGCTTTTGTGGAAGCCGAGGAGGAAACCGTCGGACCAGCCAAAGGTAATGCACTAGGTTGCTCGAGGTCCAATGCTTCTGACTCTCCTTCTTTGGCGTTTTGCGGCTGGGAGTCTTCCTGTGATGGACTCTGGTGCAATCCTGCCATTTCTTCCTTTTCGGCAATAATGCTGTTGGCGATTCGTTCCCCATCGGATGCCAACAATTGGTTCTGTTTCGATTCGTCTAATAATGACTGCCGTTGCAACTGCTGATGTAATCGTTCCGAAACGCTGCTTTTTCGATCTTGATTGCTTCGCTCACTGTCCATCATGGACGACGTGAAAGAAGTTGATGATTGGTAAGTTGCATTGGCATGCTCAAGACTAAGATTCCAGGCGTCAGCATAATTTCTCTCCTCTACCGGAAGATCGCTCTTGTTCATGTCGTCTTTGGCATCTTTTGCTTCTGAAGTTCCCGCTACTCGTTTAATTCTATGTTCTTCTGAATTTTGTTGTTCATCTGAAATTTCAGGAGCAATTTCTTTCTGGTTTTCTTCATGCGATGGTGGAAGTTTAGCATCTTCTCCTATTGATCCTTCATCCTTAAATGTGTCGCTTTGAGACCCGCTAGATGTGTCATGTTCCATTTTTGGGTGTCAATTGTGAGTGCGTGGCTGCTGAAGATAATATCACGTTTACGCAAGAAGTTGTTGTGCTGAACAAATGAATTCAACAATAATGGATTATTGATTCCTGATGTCTTCTTCTTCTTATACTGTAGGATAGCTGAAAAGTGCCGTGTGTGGTGCCCAATTCACTTTCGTGAGAAACGGTGTGGCAAAGAAATGACAATTACAGCTTCAGAGCTGGCATAATAATGGGCTGAGATGATGATGACTGTCAGAAGATCAGAATATATAAAATAATAAAAGTGTTATATTTTTTATAGTGACATGCGCGCATATGCGTCTCCCAGTTGTCGTGACTGAAATTCATTCAAAATTCGATTGAGTGAGTCAACCGGAACCATATTGCGCGCCGGCGGGGGAAATGAAAACTCTCCTCTCCGATGGCGTTAATTACAGAGACGCGTGCCAGCGGCGTGAAGGTTTTTTGTCCCGCTCAATAAATTCAAAATGACCGTCGAAAATTTGTGTTTCTGTGAATATATATATTCGCAATCACCACTCTCAACCGCAAAATTATTGTCGAACTCAAACTGCGAGTATATTCAGGGTCAAGACTTGTATCTTATCTACTGGTAGCTTCACCCTTCTAGCGCACCATTGTTAAGACGTGACGGTGACACCAGGTTCAGCTGGGGACCTGATTTTTCTTCCACTGGAGAGTATTCTGAATTATTCCCCCATCAGATTGATTCAGGTGGATTGATTGATTCGGCGGGGGAATTGATTCAGGTGACTTCAGGAGGCTTCCTTCAGCAGAAGCAAACCCAGAAGAATATGGCAGAAGAAGCCATCCAAGAGGGGGCAAGAGTAAGCAAAGATAGTGAATGGAGCACCCATTCCCGTCTAAGCAACGATGAGGTTGGGGAAGCTCGGATCACTGCCAGCTATCGGAGTTCTGCTCAAAATACCTATGACATGTCTATCAGATCCACTGACACTGCAAGCTCGAATATTCGAAACATGACGGCGCAGTATCACAATAATAGAAACAACGATTATAGTGTGCGAAGCAGGGATTCCTATGACAGGTCTATTCGATCCAACGACACAATAAACTCGAATATACGAAACATGACGGCGCAGCATCTCAACCGAAAGACTCAGTCTGGTCGTGGAAGCAGGACAATAAAGGGCGAACGAGCAAACAGTGACAGCAGCAGCGACAAGAAAGATGCAGCTATAGACCCACCGGTCCCATCACAAATTTCCACCCCGCACCCGGAAGAGGATAACGAATCCTTGGACAACCCTTCTTCTCCTGAATCGAGTGTTGAAAAATTCAACAAGGATGAAAAAGTCAATAGTGACAGCAGCCACGAGAATGATGCAACCACAGTGCCATCGATCCCATCACAAATTACCACCTTGCAACCAGAAGAAGTGGTTCACGAATCCAGTGTGGACTGTACTATGACAAATATTGTGGGTGCTATAATTTGTGGTGTATTTGCTATTGGGTGGTTAGTCTTTCTCTTTTGGAAAGATGGCGGACCAGACCTTATCACTAAGCAAAAATCCCCATCCATCTATAGCTGGAACCCTCCAACGGCCGATCAGTGCAGCTCCATTTCCAATGGCACTCTTTTTTATTATGATGCAGACTCGCGGCAGCAAGAACGTATTCAGGTGAAGTTAGAAGTACAGCTTCAATCGGAACTCGGAAATGTGAATGTGGCCAATCTGGAATCCGAGTGGAAGAAGAAATTGCAAGAGCATGTCATGCCAACATTGGCCGGTTGTGAAGAAGATGTCCAACGTCGTCTTTATCAAGAGCCAAACGACAACAAATCAACGCTCCGGCAACGTCGACGATTGCGAACACTCAGCCAGCTGCTACCGGATCATGTAATATCCTATGCGTTTGTGGTGGACACAACCTTGTCGTGGGATGAGATTCTCCCCGAAGGAAACCAAGGCACATTTGCACAAGTGCAAACAACATACACGTATCCATTCATGATTGATATTGATCTTTGGTTGAAAGAAGATGTCAATGACGCTCTCCTAAACGAAAAAGTATCACAAGTGTTCAACGACTTTTTGAACAATGGCCCGCTGCAAACGGATTTGGCACTAGACAGATCCAAACTCATCAACGTTCAACAATCACTGGACATGCCAACTGATGATCCAACAGTTTTCGACGGTGCTACCGTAGCAAATCCCGACCCATCGACGAATGCACCAGTCGCAATGCCAACAAGGAGGCCGACGAGTGTCCAAACCTTGGCACCTTCGGAGAGTCCTTCCATAGATCCGACCGGACTTCCAGTCACGGAGAATCCCACGCTATCACCAGCCAACCAAAGTCCCAACGACAGCCCAACGAGTAACTCTACCCTATAACCTTCTCTCGAGCCTGGAAATAACATCACGGAACCGACGGCAAGTCCATCCACAGCACCAAGCAATGAAACGACAATTACAGTCAGCCCAACTTCAAACAGTACAACGTGATTGATGATTCTTGCCTTGTCGTCTCGCTGGGAGCAGGTAGACTGGAGTCTGCTTCAATGTCAGTGGAATTCTTGCACAGTTGTGCCTATATCACTTGAATGACGTCCGAAGTATCCGAGACCTGTATTGAGTGAAGAAGAATGATTATGCAACTATCAAACCTCGCAATCATGCAGTCAAATGTCACTATGGAATCCGAGACAATCCCAATGGTTGCACGCCGATTCAGCAGCAGACTGACTCGCTGCATCTCTTGAAGATGTGGATTTATTTATTAGAGTGATGAATCGATCAACAGCACCGATCTTTCTCTGTCCGAACGCTGAAGGTGGTCGTAGCGGCTTTTTATCATCAGTCCTATACTATAATGTCAAACCAAATCTGTAAATGGAGCTCCAGCCGATCTAGGAGATGCGCAAAATCGTGTCCGATCAGCACAATAAGTCACGGCCTACCCGAGAGGCGGAACTAGAATCACGCTACCTCTAGATTCAAGCTGGCAGTTCGCTAGGAGCATTCAAATTTCAAGATGAACCATGGAATGGAATGGAACAAATCAACCTAATTCTAAACTTCTTATCAAAGCTGGACCTAAGAGAAATCAACCCCATCACAATCTCCAATATCCAGCCAAAAGAGATTTGGCTTCCCGCGGGTATTATGTCCATGTCAGTCGGAGCTTTCCTCTTCTACCTCGGCACGATTCATCTCTGTCATCATAGCATTGATAGCATCGTCGATTCCCAGCAAAAAAGATGGCGCATTGGTCTGATTTCTCGCACTTGCAGTCACCGCGGGTTTCCTAGAATCTTCTTCCAATGATGCGACAGCTGTCATACTAACTCTCTCTGGTGTAAACTGTTGGCACGTAGGACTCTCCGCTCTGGAAACAGGAGGACTTGTGGGTCCACTATTGTTCCATTCGTCAAGTTGGACGTTTTCATTTGAATCGACTTCCGATTCATTCGAGTTTAGCAAAGCTCCTTGACGACTACTGATTTCATGAGCAACCGTGTTCTTGGGGTTTTCGTCTGAATCAGATTTTGATTTACTTGAGTGCAGCGAAGCCCCTTGGCGACTAGCTCCATCATCAATTGGGCTCTTTGGAACAGTTGTTGTTGTCCCAGCTCCAATAGACAGGAAACCCATCTCTCGAAGCTGCAATGGTCGCGGAGGTGTCAGATGACTGTTTTTCTTTCCACGTTGCAGCTTGTTGTATTCTTCTTGATTTTCTGCTATCCAACGTCTTAAGCATTGGTATCCCACGTCATCAATGCGAACATTAAAGTGACTATGTGTTTCTCTAAATTGTTTGAATTCGTTGAGTCGTTCATCCCATTCTTGGTTCAGTTTTTAATGGCGACTACTCTTGAGTCCCCCCCTGGATTTTGGTGTACACTTGTTGATTATACTTAAGCCAACTGTTCAAGGAGTTCTACGCTTCTACATTTCATGGAACCTTGAAGTGCCCATTCTCTTTTTAAACTGCTTGAGTTGCTGGAGTCGTTCATCAAATTCTTGGTTCCGATTTTGTATGTCTCCGAAATTATAGCCGATGGATTGATTCGAGCTGGGCAATCCGTTCATCCGTCAAGCGACGACTCTTGATTCCCTTTTGGATCTTGTTGTACGCTTGTCGATTATAAGTAAGCCAATAGTTCAATGACTTATATACGCTTCTACATTCTTTGGAACCTTGAAGTGCCCATGCGCTTCTTTGAAATGCTTTAGCTCCTGTACCCGTTGGTTCCACAGTGCAATTGGACAGCCCAATTTAATATTACCATTGAAATCCCCCTGTTCAGGAACATTGAATTTGAAGCCGATGGATTTGAGTTGGGCCATCCGTTCATCCGCCAGACGACTACTCCTGATTCCCCTCCGGATCTTGTTGTACGCTTGTTGATTATATTTCATCCAAAAGTTCAAGGACTTGTACGCTTCTTCATTCTTTGGAACATTGAAGTGACCATTTTCTTTGTAGAAATCCGTTAGCTCTTTGATCCGGTGATCCCATGGTGCAATTAGGCATGTTTGTATATTCATATCATTGCCGTCGAATCTTGTCTTCTCAGATGGATTGAATTTGTAGCCAATTTCCATCAGTCCAACCAATCGTTCACTTGATAAGCGGCTGCTCTTTATCCCTTTCTTGAGGTTCTGGTAATGTCTTTGATTATGAAGCATCCAGTTTGACAAGAGCTTATATCTTTCGACGTCCATGGGGACATGAAAATGATCCTGAGCTTCGTGAAACTCTTTCAGCTCTTGTAGCCTCTGATACCATTCCGCATTTGGACATTTCCAACTAACAATGATGGAGCTTTTTGAGGGCTTCTTTCTTCTTGCACTAGCACTGAAGCGGAACCCAATTGCTTTAAGCTGGTCCAATCGTCCATACGTCATAGAACTCTTTTCGCCCTGTTGGAATTTGTTGTACGCAACTTGATTCTTTTGTATCCAGGTTTTCAAAGTTTTGTGCTCTTCGACATTATCGGGGACGTTGAAATGACCATGAGTGTCCTTGGAGTCCTTCAACTCTTGCAATCTTTCACTCCATCGTTTGTGCTCTCTACCGGTTTCAGAAAAATCGAAGCCTAATGTCGTAAGCTTTGATATACGGTCATTTGTGAGTCGACTGCTCTTCTCGCCTTTTTGCAGGCGATGGTAGTGGTACTTATTTTGGATAACCCAGTTATACATTGGAAGGTACGCATTAATATTTCCCGGGACTTCGAAATGACCATGTTCTTCTTTGAACTGCTGCAGTTCTCGTACCCTCCGATTCCAACAAACGCCATCAAGATCGAGGCCAAATTCCTTTTTCCTTTTATTGTTTGTATTCTGTTGTTCTTTCTGCTGCTACATTGACGCAAATTTTGAACTTTCCGAAAGTCGTAGCCGATATTTTCGAGCTGAGACAACTGTGTCTCCATCAGTGTTGAAATACCATCACTCCTGTGGCGCTTGTTGTATTCGATACAAAGTTTCGCAAGCCAATTCGAAAGATGCGGGAACTTTTTGCAATTACGTGGAACTTGAAAATTGCCATTGATACGTCTGTACTCGATCAATTCCTTCAGACGGCGTTTCCGTCGAACCTCTGAGTTCACCAAGGATAATCGAAAGCCAACAGACTTCAGCTCGGCTATTCGGTCTGTCTTATTCCGTCAAGTCAATCTCTTGGGTTCCTCTTGACGCTGCCATCGTGCGTACGACGAACGAATCTGCTACATCCAAGTTGACAACTTGTTGTGTTCTTCATCGTCTTTTGGAACCCGACAATGTCCATGCTGTTGTTTGAAGTCTTTCAGCTCATGTATGTGCTTTCAGGTTGCTCCCAATCATTACAATAATACAACAACATATATAGTCGACTTAGTCGAAGCGGTCGTAGATTTAGCGCGCTCATCTACTATATAAACGACGCGATAACTGCAACGCACAAAAATACAACCAGGACACATGTCCACTCGATGATTGATCGACAAAGATTTCGATTGCATATATTGTTCGATTTAGCATGCCGACAATACTGCCAAAAATGTGATACATAGGAACCCTTGAGGTTTCTGAACCCACGCGGAGCATCAAACTTTCAGAAGAACACACCAGCCAATAAGGATTCTAACAAGAACATCCTCATCAATCATAGTCGAGCACGACGAGGCCCAAAAGTCAGTCCACCTTCTGCTTCATATCAGCAAAAATACGATCGGTTGCACTTCAAGATGTCTGAGAACAGCGAAACTATGAAAGTGCTCATGAATGGAGATACGTCGTCCGAGGTGGAAACGGACCACGACGACAACGACTGGACTGTTTCGGATGATGAGCAGGTACAAGAAATCAGAGCACGTGATGAAAGTAAAGAGCTCGATGCCATACCAAGGGGGAATCTGATAGACCAGTCTGAAAATAAAGTAGCAACGAAAAAGAGCGATAGCCTTGATGGCGGACCCAGCAACTTCAATCCTATTAGTGAATCCAATGTGGTTGATACTCTTTTACAAGAGAAAAATATTCGTCAGAGCGAAACCCTTTCTGATGGGATGAGCAGCCGAAGCACAAACGATAATGGTGATGTGATGCCTGTGTTGCCACGAGTAGACTTGGAAGTGAAACCAGAATACCCTCCATTATCCGTCGAAAAATCAGATGAATCGAATATTGCATTTCAAGTTAAAAATCAAAATCAAGGAAAGGATACAAAGCCAACTGGGGCGGGAATTCGTGAAATTGCTGATACTTCATCCTATGTGCATCTTGAGACCTCTCACAGGAGTGATGATTGCGTGGTTCATTCATTCGATGACGTAAATAATCGTCTTAGTGATGCGTCACAGGATGTTGGCGTTCAAGATCTTTGCGACAACGATCCACAATTCCATCATTCGAATCTAGTTGACGACTTGTATCAGATGCCAGAACTGGCAGCATACCTTGACGATCTGGAAAATGTGGCTGCCAAACAAAAGATGAGTGACGAACATTCACTCCATACTTCGTCGTCGTTTTTGGAAGCGACTGGCGACGTCAAACATGTTCAAGGCAGTAACGACCAATTGATCCATGAGCAGACCGGAAGTTATTTGACGGATACCGACAAGGAAAAGAGGGATCCAACTCCTCGTGTCTCCTTTGCCGAACAGCCTTCCTACTTTCCAGGCCAGATTCCGAGGAACGATCAAAAGAGAAGCAGTAGCCGGAACAACCACAAGAAACGAAAAAGCAGCAAAGGGCGCCATTCTAACCGAGATATGGCAATATATAGCGGCGATGATGGCGATCAAGTGGCGGAGAAATACTGGCAAAGTATGCCGAAACGTTCTTCTCGTAATTCTAGCAAAGACATCAAGAATGAAACATCATCATCATCCCGGCGGTCATCTCATCACCGAAACAACTCTAGACGAAGAAGCAACTCGCGTTCCAGACAATCAAAGCATAGAGATCAACGGAGCCGAACGAAGAATCGTCATGCAGCTGATGAGCAAGAGATAGAAACGCCACAATTGGAGGATGTGAATTTGTACGATTCGGCCAATAGTTCGGACGAACAATTTGATGATGAATATGAAGCAGAAGCCCGAGGACGAGGAAGACGGAAGCACCGATCAAATAAGCATCGAAGAAGGAAAAGTGGGCGACAATCGATTTCCTTGCCAAGAGATCATGCAGATTACGATCAATCACCTTCCCTCAATCGTTCCACATCGGATCGGCGGTCGCACAGGCGATCTTTGAGCGTGAGTGAGATCGAAACGCGGCAATTGATGCAGTCACACTCAACACGTGAGATGGATTCGACGAGAGTGCAACGACAGTTCCGAGACTTGGAGAGTCCAAAACGGACCTCTAGCAAGAAACGAAAAAGTCGGAGAGGCAAGGCGGAGAGTCGGAATCGAAGTATCATATGCTGCGGCATTTTGTTTTGCCTTCTGTCAACAGTTGGAGTTGTGCTATTTCTTGTCATGCATGAAAACGTCAGCGAACCGGAACCATTGACACCTGTAAGACAATCCCCTATTGTATTGAGGGCTCCCACTACAGAGAAATGCCGTTCCATTTCCCAAGGTGTTGACACCATTTCAGATCAGACGGAATCTTCATCTGAGCTGAAACAATTTGAAATCAGGCTGGAAGTGGAACCTAGTGGCCAAATTGGCGAATCTGATTTGCCTTTCATGCCCTTGTTGGAGTCGACACTACAAGCACTTGTAATGCCGGCATTGGTTGGGTGCGAGCCTGTGACTCTTCGTCGGTATCGTCGCATGATGGGACCACCCCTCGAAAGTCGGCGAAGGAATACGGAACGACTACCGCACTATCTCATTTCAAACGGCTTAATCATCGATGCACAATTTGATTTATATCCTCTTGCTTCAAAATCAAGTCGACCGTTCAGCTATCCTGTAAAAGTTCTCATCGATATCTGGGTCCAAGAAGAAGTGGACAGCTACTTGTTGGCGAACAAAGTATGGAAGGCATTCGATGAGTTCATGAGCTCTCCAGGAATTCCAGAAGACTTTCCAATTGCATCAGCTGTGGTGCTTAGTGTTGATCCCGTTCGTGGAGCTCAAGAACCAAAAGAAGGTACCGCATTTCCAACTCTTTTACCATCCCCAAGGCCATCACAAGCACCCAGCATTACCAGCAGCGCATCTCCCACAAAGCAGCCATCCTCCAGTCCGAGTATTTCTCCGTCATCTTTCCCGTCCTTGAGCCCCACTGGACTGCCTTCTGCAAAACCGTCGTCCGTACCCACCCATATACCATCATTGCAACCGTCCAAATTTCCAACTCCAAGACCAACATTGAACCCTACAGGTTCTCCGACGGTTGCGCCTGTGACTTTCAGCCCAACAAGACCCCCAGTTCCGATCAATGCATCAATTGATGTCGTCATCATCGGGGCCGGAGCTGCAGGTTTGAGCGCCGCCTATCATCTGCAGCGCGAGGGAGTTTCAGTGGTTGTACTGGAAGCTACCAATGAGATTGGAGGTCGAGTAAAAAAGGACTCAACATGGGACTTGGACCTTGATCTAGGGGGAGAATGGTTAGACTATGCGACTAGTGACTTTAGTAATGGCAATGACATGTTGAGTGCTATTCTGGATCGAACAGTCAATAAGCAGACCATTCGAGAGCCCAACTTAGCACATTATTGGAGTGGATCTACAATGCGATATGACCCCCCTGGTTCCACTTCCACTGACCATCGTTGGGTCGACTCTACTTGGTGGGATTTCTTAAACCAAGAGTTGATGTCAAACCTCCAACCCAATACTGTGATTTTGAACAGTATCGTAAAGACCATCGACTATGGATACGAAAGGCCACTTGTAAATTGCGAAGATGGTAGAACTTATGAGGGATCATATGTGATCGTAACGGCATCTATGAAAACCCTGCAAGATGGCATGATTTCATTTGTTCCAAGTCTGCCTTCAAGATACCAAGAAGCAATTGATGATATCGAGATGGGCAGTGGTGTCAAGGTCTTTTTAGAATTCACCGAAAAGTTCTTTCCTGATATTTTCAGGTTGGATCCCGATACGGAAACGTATAATTTCGAGGATTGCGAGTCCTCTCGTCATGGAGTGCGATACTTCTACAACCCAACCTATGGACAAACGTCGACCAAACATATCATGGGCATGTTTGCATACGCGGACATTGCTGATTTGTACATTGGAAAGCCACACGATGCGATAATTCAGAGTATTTTGAGCTTACTGGATCAAATTTTCAACGGCAAAGCATCAGCCACATTCGTCAAGGGTGTGGTACAAGATTGGTCATCGGAGCCCTATGTGCGGGCAGCATATACAAACTTTGCACCCAAGAATGCTGTGGATCGGTTGCGAATTCCAATTGACAATAGAGTGTTCTTTGCTGGAGAATCCGTTTTCTCGAAAGACTCGGATTGGGGTTTTGTCCAAGGAGCCGCACTCTGCGGGGAGGATGTGGCCGAAGACATAGTAGATGCTATCAATGGAAGGTAGTTATGATATTGGTGACTTTATGTTATGCATGGTAGCATTAATGTAATATATACTACAACAGAAGTCGTATGCTTGAATCGTTGTTTGGTCTTGCCTACTTAGTAGCCAAAAAGTAGTAGACGGCGTGTGGTTCATCGCAAGAATCAATATATCAAAGATTGCAGGTCCGGCAGTCGCAGAATCTCAGTGACGATTGTCTCGTACTGGATCTGCCCCCCTGATCGTTCGCAAAACAACAAGTATCAAAAGACGTGAGTATACCTTCAATTTCGCATCGCGATAGCATGGACTTTGGTCAAGCTTACCGAGATTGATTTCGACCACCGGATTGGTTGGAAGCTCCTTATCCAGGCTCAGATCGTCACTTTCCTCAAGCTTGCAAGTAATTCCAGCCCATTTACATTCGGAATATCCGGAGAGCCATCGCAACGAATGGGTCGTCTCATATGCAGTTATATTTCCATTTTCACCGTAAACTGGTTTCTTGAAATTGCATGATTGAGCGGAAGTGGAAGGAGTGGTCGTCGAGTTGGCCAATTCCGCCTCAGAAGATGATGTACCCTCTTGGTTTATTGAACGGTAACCAAACATCGTCGTGCGCTGCCTGGGAGCAGATACTGATGGTGACGAAGATGCTAGTGCATAATTACAAGACAGCCAGGGCACACGGCAGTTATCTGTTGAAGCAAAGTAAAAGCAGGCAAGAAGAAATCGTTGTTCCAATTGTTCCAGTGTCGATTGGTGCCGATGAGGGTCGTTTTCCATTATCCACGAAGCCGCTAAATATTGGGAGCTCCCGGGCCTATGGATGTCATCTCCTACAAGGGCTTCAAAAGAATTGTGCAACATGCCAATGGAAAATTCCGGCATCGAAGAGGCGTAAGATCTTGGTGTCTTCTTTCGATCCGTCGACCGAGCTTCTTCGGACGGTGACTCCAAAGGAAAACTCTTTGCAGAAGCAGAAGCAGATGGCGATGTGGCGCTTATGATTGCGAAGATTGCGCAAATGAGCAACAGGAAACCCAACACTCTCCAATTTGCTCGATTTTGTTTGGATACCGGTGCCATAATAGTCTTTGAGCTTGACTCAAGCGGAGGCTGGGCTGGCTTGCTAGGAGGGAAGATTGCCGAGGAAGAACCAAGGGATGCTGAATCGCTCCCTTCGCTGACTGACTCTGCAGACATTTGAAGGAGAGAAGGACGGTATCCCACCCTCGACGATCGCACTGCGCTAGCTTCAGACGCAACAGAAGCACGCCCAGAAGTCCGTCGAGCAGCGTCATAAAACGATGCTTGTGCCAAAAACACGGAATCAGAAGATACGGATTCGCCGTCTGACTCATCCAGTCCCAACGCATTCAGGGTATCATCGAATTCTGCCATTGATCGTCCCAAGAAACTAGTCAAGCGAGGAGCAATGCGGCGTGCCTCCATCTCTTCTTGTGCTGATCGAGTGCTGTTGCTGATATCACTAGCCCGACGTTCTCGGAAAGAAGAAAATCTTCTGTTTTGAGCCTCAATTTCTTCTTCGATTGAATGATTGCTGTTTCTGAGTTGACTGGCTCGTCGGTCGGCTTCTAGAAAAGCAGACAATCTTCTTTCCCGAGTTTCTTTCCTCAGACTTGATGATAGTGACGGTCTTGGAGGCCTTCCAGATGGCCCTCCAGGTGGTCTTACAGATGACCCTCCAGATGGCCGTTCAGTAGATGCAGTGCTAGTGTGGAAAGTGCCGCTGTCACCACTACTAGATGCTGCTGAAGATGACATGCTCTCATTCACCCGTGATGAAGAGGTCGCTGATTGCATTGACTCTATTGCATCTTCTGTGTTCTTGTCTGCACCTGTAGTGTTGCTCATGATTGTTTTTGCTGTGCAATAATATTATTCAACACACTCGATGCATAATATTACTCTTTCAAATAACTTCTGTTCAAAGCTTTTTCGTAAAAAAAAATACTGTATCATATAAAATATATAAAAGGTCAAAAAATATCCGTCACTATGGACTAAACTTCACATCTACTGTAGTTCTGATCATCACTGGTACCTGGATACTGGTACCGCATACGATTGGGTACCGGTACTGCCAGTATAGTGACGGCAGCTCGAAGAAAATAGCGAGAGTTCTATTTACCACCCTGATTTTTTATGACGCAAAATTACGTGTTGGAATATCGCATGATATTGACTGTGAATTACTACCAAAAACAACGTGGTTCAGCGTGACTTTTTCAAATGCGCGAATGCAGCCTTTGGTTAGTCTTGATGCGACTTCGCTCGTGCTATTCATAAAAACGCTTCTGGCTCTGGTACCTATGGTTTCTGGTACCTATGGTCCCGATCAGATACACCTACAGTACTACTATTACTACATGGAAAAGGATGCTAGAGTCTGGAGTAATCGATGGAATGTAAAACCAACTAGGCCATCTTCCTTCCACCTCCTCTTGTTTTCCATTACTACCTTGGGACGCCGACGCTTGATCTCTGGCGTTTGATGTCCTGACACTATTGGCATGCCGTCTCGTGTGTAATTCAAGTATTTACCATAGTTTCGAATATACAATGCTTCTGATCCTTCTCGTACAAACGCCGGAATAGGAAATGAATCTGATGGTCTTTGCCATGGCCAATAGGAACTCTTCGGATGGTTCGATGGCCACTTGCGGTTGGGATGAAACCATTGTCCACAGTTGATGCTATTCTGCATTGCATAATCATTGGGAGGAGGGTGGTTTGAAATGGGACACCAAGGAAGATAGTAGAGATCATTTCGAAATTTGGTCCAATGGTCATATGATTCGGTGATGGATTGTTGTTTGGATGTTTGCCAGTTCCGATCATTGCCGAGATGAAAGGTTCCGTTAGGGTGGGAAGCAAGGTTGGCATAGTTTGGTGCCATGATGAGCAAGGCCAAATGAACGTTGGCTCCAAAGGGCGGAAATCCAACAAAGAAATCACCAAAGTGAATCCTCTTCAAGACTGAAGAATGGAACAGGAAACAATCATACCCTGGATGAAGTCGAAATTGATTTGCTTCAATCAGATCGTCTGTCTGCTTAAGAAATCGGGAGGCCGAATCCCACGATAAAGTCATAGCATCTTTTGAATTTGCGGTAATCTCCAGATCTAGAGTCATCCGGTTGATTGATAGAGCTGAAGCGTGTCGCTTCTTCACTTGACTGTCCAGATGAATGTAGAAATTTTGGCTGAGACCAATGTCAGCATTTGAGAAAAGGTAAAAGTCGTCATCGTTCTGCTGATTTTGGATAGTGGTATTGTCAGCGCGGTAAATAGGTTCTTGGCTTGTATCCAAAATATCTTGCAGAAAAGGCAGTGAGCGATTGGTACCATACTCTGTCTTGGTCGATCGAGGCAGAAGTACAATCCTATCGCAAATCCTCTCCATGATGTTTTTCAAAGGCGACATTTCCTCGGAAAGTACGGCACATACAAGCTCAATCTTTTCAAAGGCAAAATACTCCATCTTTGGGGAAGACATGGCTTGATCAGACTTGTAGGTTGTTTCAGGCGCACTGTCGTCAGCAACGTTCGACCGAAGAACCTTCTTCTTTTGCTCGCTTAATCTTCTCATTGCAAGGTACTTATGAAATGTGCCTCGTGCCCGCCGAATACTACAGAGAACAGCGAGTTGCGCCATAGACATTGGTGCAGTGAGGAGGCTTTGATCGCTCGGTACTTGGTCACCACCCAGCAGTGTTCTTGGGATTTGTTCATGCGATGGATTCGTTTCAGTTTTGCTGACCTGCTCGTCGACAAATGGGCTAATCACATGTACTAGCTTCCGTTTGGAAGTGAGAGATATTGTTTGGTCGACAATATTCAACAATGCATCCTCTCTGGTCACGCTGAATCGACTGTCATCGTTCAGGTTCGTTGGATGGAGGATCATTGTGATTATGTTTCTTCTCAGCAAGAGCACTAGTACCCCAGCAACGATGAGGCATACTAGTAGTTTCAGCCGCCATCGCAACTGATGATGTTTCGTCCTATTGTGAACGTTGGTATTGAGAGATCTTCTGTCTTTCCTTCTATAGTTCCTGTTTCGCCTTTGTTTCATAATCAACAACCGGCAGTTATTATGATTGTGTCGATGAACTCACGCATCTTGTGTATGACTATATTTTTCTGATGTGCGCAATTTTTAATGTCGTATCTCGCGTCATATCTGCGAATCCATGCTTCAGAGAGCGGACTCAATCGACTAAACATTCTCAACGGAAAAAAATAAGAGAGAGGGATCGATCCATTATATAGCATGACAACAAATAACATCATGCCATCGTCGGGAACCAAAACAAAAAGGTGTATCACTGCTAGATTCATCGTACCAGTCGAACGTGAATGTTAGCTATGACTTTTTGCGATGGGCATTGGACTTCTGTTGCTGGCTACAATCGGCTAGAGAGCAAGAATAATAGTATTCATGGTGTTCAGGAGGCAAAGAACTATACAACATGGTCGAACATATATAACGGGCGGCGCTTTGAAATGCTGATACAATAGATGCTCTGATAGCGGTACTCAGGCCAAATGATTATGTATCAGCATCTACTGACTTCTGGTTGTTGTCAAGCATGAACGAAGGTGGACCAGAAGATCCAGGGGACGCTGAGACGAGCATACGGATTATTCTCTGAAGGCAAATCCATATGAGAATGGACTCACTCTTTTTGAGTGATCTATATTTGTTGGATTGATTGCTCCTGTTGCTTCAATTTCTTTGATCTATTCTGATCAATCATGACCGACGAAGAATGCTCCTGGGATTGAAGTGAGAATATGGCTGGTATACCTCTTCTTCTTTAGACAACACTATCTTGGCTGACGAATTGACCAATATGGTAAAATGGATAACAATGCATCGTCCATGCATTCTTCTTCTTGATTGTTGGAGAGGCAAAAACAAATTGCGGCAATGCTTAAATAATGCCTTTTCCAACCCCAGATTTGGTAAAGTTCTCAAGGTATCCATGGGCGGCAGATAAGTATTATTATATATTATAGTAGCCAACAGTAGCAGTGGAAATGAAAAAGCAATCCAGTCCATTTCTAGAGAAGTAAGCGCAAATTTGCATGACAAGAGGAGGCAAGAACTTGGAAAAAAAGTTGGAAATTGTTTGTTTTGGAACTTGACCAAAAAAAGGATACCATTCACTCCGTCACAATTATTGATTACACTTCTGAAACCATGGAAGCACCATAAAAGACCGACCCATATTGCAAGCATTATACGGTACGGAGGTAGAAATGATCGAGCAGTCGTGGAGGACGGAATCTTAAAATTCCTTTTGATTCGGAGGGATCGTCCAATGATTTCAATTTTATTTAAAAAATTTGAAGAGGCTTGTAACATGCGTTCCGGATTCCACTTTAAGATTTGATTTCGGGTCGATGTTAGGGGATAGCTAAAGGGTGTTTATTCCCCGAACCAGTCCTTCAGAGTTGGACAAGAGTTGTTATCTGAAAAGCGGTAAACTTCAGACTAGGGTGAAGAAACGCATTCTAAAGAAGTGTCACACGACGTCGGACGTCATCTATTGAATCTAAAATATATAAATGCGTTCCGGATGTAGACTTCCAACTTCATATGATATATGTTCATTCGTATGTCTGTTTCGTTCTGCAGCATCATTGCGTTGCTCGAAGAGTCACACAAGGTATGAAAACGCGGAAAGTGAAGAAGTTAACGAATCATTGGCATTGATATATTATACATTCGGGGTCATCACACCTTCGAAGTAACTCAATCATTGGGGATCCTTTGAGCTTTGGAGTGTTTTCATTGGCTGATGGCATCAGTATGATAAAATTGTAGATGGACAATAGAATGACGACAGATGATGATGGGGTCTTCAATCAGTAAGAACTACTATACCGTAGTAGTATTAGGTAATATTAGGTAAAAGTCTTCTAAGTAGCATTTTTGTTTTGTTTTTTAAAAATATAAAGTATTTTCCAGCAGGCACAACTACCTCTCAATCTTCCGAGGACCGAATGATGATCTTTCCTGTTCATAATGTCAGAAAAGATATCATTCAACTTCCAAGCAAAAATGTGAGCTAGTTGGGTGGTGGGCCCTTATAAGGAGAGATCGATGTTTGATATACCAAGGAAGGAAAGGATTGAATCATCTATTGGCCCTTCTTGTAGTTGGCAGCTTCAATCTTGGAATCCTTTTGAAGGTATTCCTGTTCGTAGGATTCTGGGAACCACTTCATGCTGGCGTTACCAACCATGATATCGACAGTCTTCTTCAGTCTCCAAAAGACATTTTGCTTGACGTATGGCACGCCGTACTTGGCGCAAATGGCTCTGACTTGGGGAGCCGACTTTTGGTAGGTGAGCATGCTGAGGTTGGGCCACATGTGGTGCTCAATTTGATAGTTGAGCCATCCGTGCCAAAAGTCAATGGGGTCGCTTCCCATGGAAAAGTCTACCGAGGCGAGGACTTGGCGAAGGTAAAAGGATCCGGAGAATGGACGGCAAGGTTCACGGAATCGGTACATGTCATCACCAGCGTGGTTGGTGACAACAATGATGAAACTGTGGACATTGGTCAAGAGTTCCGCAAGAAAAAGGTTCTTGATGGCAGTCCAGTACATGCCTTGTCCGGTGTATCCTTCCAAGTGCTCTCCCAAAAGAAGGTAAGGGAGAGGAGCGACGAAAAAGTGAAGGATAAAGTATGGGAGAAGAACCACGGCCATGAGTTCGGCAAAGGAGTAAAAGTGAGATTGTCCCATGAGCGCAGACTTGACAGTAACCGCAAGCTCCGGTTGGACACCCTCTGGAATGGCCTTTCCTTGGCGTCTCAATCGTGCAAGCTTTAGTTCCTTGTAGGTGTTGGGGGCATAGTAGTACCACTTCCAAGTCAACATGGTGAATCCAACCATCATGTATTTGAAAATGACAGGAGCATCTAGGTCACGAACTTCTTCCATGTTCTGTTCCACAAGATCAGGGTCGTGGATCTCACTAAGGTTGTAGTGATGACGGTTGTTGTGCTCGACGTTCCAGGCTTCTGGCATCATCCAGTCAAACCAGTCATTGAAACGGCGCCAGAAGGTTCCCAATCCGAACTTGAACCGAGACCAACGGTCCTTGTTGGGATGAACCTTTTCGTATCCGCCGTGGCAAGTGTGATGGGCAATCATGGTCCATCGGGTGCAAGTGTAAAGAGACAGGCAGACGATGGTGATGGGATTGACGAGGAATCCCATCGTCAGCAGGCCAATGGCAGCACAGCTGTTGGACCACATGATCATTTTGTTCAGGTGAGCCACGTCGGCTTCTCCTTGTTCGGCATCCAACTTCTTTCCAAGCTCTTTGATTTCAGTGGCAAAGCCTTCAAAGTCGAAATCCTTCAGCCATTCGTCTCCCTTTTGGAGTTCGGCTGGATCAGCGACGGCCTTTTTAGGCTCTCTGGCTACTTCTTGACGGCACATGTTTTGTTTTGTTTTGTTTTGTTTCGTTGAATTCAATTGAACTGAATTGAATTGAATTGAATTGAAATTCAGGTCGTTGTGCTGTGTGATAACAGTATGTACCTAGGTGCAATGAACAAGAATCACAACAAAATGCCGATCGCAATTTTGGAAAGTGACAATCAATGACTTATCGTGTGTAATCCGTTGCGTGGTGGTTATAGATCGAGCGAGTTGCACACGTGAACGAGCGAACGACCGCAAAGCTTTGCTTGGTCGAGAGAGAAAAAAAAGAACGAAAAAAAGAGGGAGTCTCGTCACGATTTTTCTCTGTGGGTCTGCGCTGGTGCAGGCAGGCAGGAGGAAGAGGAATTCTTCACATGCATTTGAAGATACCCAAAGTGCGTCCAACCTAAAAACACGTGGTGGTTGTTCGGCCAATGACAAAATGGAGAAGATGAGGTATGCCGTGAACTCCAGTACTGTCTCTACGAAGAAAAGAAAAAGACCCGGAAGAAATGGTGACGATCGGAAGGAAACTACGTCGTAAATCACCGACTGTTGTGATTGGTCATTGAACATACGATACAGTAGGCACACGCGGTGATTTGGTGACGCTGAATTTCAAATCCAAAGGCATCATCACATGTTTCAAAATTGAAGAAATGAAGAAATGACATGACACATTTTTTGCATGACGTATTAGATAGAATATTATTATTCACCAAAAATGCAATGAACTATTCCTGACATTTTCAGTAAGACTCACTCATATAGAAGACGAAAGTTTCTTTCGCCCCATACCTACCTACCTACCATCATTGGGCTTTCACTTTATACAAGATATTTTAAGACTACATGACATATTTGAGGACGGCATGGATGATTGATTGATTCATTCATTCATTCATTCATTCATTCAGTCTTCTGCCATCACGATTATTTGAGATCATCGAATCATCATACCTTCGCTCGGATGATTGGCGATTCCTACATCATGTTGGTTGATGATTGATTGATGCATTCATTCATGCATTCATTCATTCATGCATTCATTCATGCATTCATTGATGATAAACCCTACGAGAAGATACATTGTATTGGATATACGCCGTGTTGTTTGACGAAAAGTGTTGCTCTACGTACGGTCTGGACGCTATGTTTGTCGAGGCGAAAATATGATGGGCGATCTTGATTCGAAGAATCATGCAGAGACGGACCAAGGAAGGAATGATATCAATGATATCAATGAATCTTCAATCAATCAGGTGGAATACTACAGTAGTATGCAACAATCAGACTGCACTAGTAGAATATATTAGGAATAAACGACGAACAAGACGTCTGAAGGCGATTGATTTCATCGGTTTATTGCCATCAAGATTCCAATCATGATTGTGCAAATTGTTTTACCAAACTAGCACACGTTGATACGATCCTGTGGTACAAGTATAATGATTTGTTGACTATACGAAATGGCTTCTAATGTCATGTTTTGTAGGATTTCCTACTGATATTTTTAGTTTGTTTTCTTTTATTCTTTTCTTTGTATTTCTTTTTCAATTCAATGATATTATGCTTTGATACGATCTTTGGCGATGAACACATGATCATGTATTTATTTGACAATTGATGTGTCGTTTATATTGCGCCATGCATTCTATTTTTGAATGTGCACTGTGGCTTGATTGTAGCCTTGATTGTAGCCTTGATTGTAGCCTTGACTGTAGTATGTTTTGTTTTGTTTTGTTTTGTTTTGTTTTGTTTTGTGTTGTGTTGTGTTGTGTTGTGTTGTTTTGTATTGTTTTGTATTGTATTGTTTTGTATTGTTTTGTATTGTTTTGTCTTGTTTTGTGTTGTGTTGTGTTGTGTTGTGTTGTGTTGTGTTCTGTTGTATTCCTTCCTTCACACACCGACCGACCGGTCCGAAGCTTTACGACTGCAACTATCATTTCATAGACGTGTTGCATCGAAGCAAGGTACCAGTAGCGTTGGAAAGGGAATGGGTAGTGGCTCCCATTTGGAGCAGGATCCTTCAGCAAGAGAAAATATGTTCAAATCGGCCGCAACCACAAGGATCTTCCACGGAAGCATCCTCCTCTTCCAAAGTCCTTTACCATAGTCAGTTGCGATTGCAAAGTGTTGGCCAACATTTTTCTGACAAGTCAAGGACGCTGAAAAGAAGAAGATTGGTTCGAGAAAAGATCAAAAGCTCTATTCTTGGCTGAGCAAGGTTGTCTCATCGTTGGTTCGTCGAATGACAGCCCATTCCCATTCGGTTTGAAACAAATTAATTCGAGTCCCAGGGATTTGTGCCTCGAGACGGAAGGAGCGTTCAGTTCGCTCTCTCATTTCCTTGATCTTATGGTCGTATCGCTTCTTTGCCATCTTGCGCTTGTAAGATCCAATAATTGTTTTACCAGACGATGGTGGATTGATTCTTTGAGGACCTTGTCCAAGGTAATCACATCCGACCTTGAGGCAGAAATTCGGCAGTACCACAACCCAATAGTACTTGACTTTGCCAGCAAAATTTTCAAGCATTCTCTGGACTGTAAGCTTGACAAGAATAGTCATGGTGCAGCTCACAATAGAAAAAGCCGAGATCCACATGCAAACCCAGCTTGAAAGAGCAGAGATCAAATCAGTAAAGACTCGGACCCCAACCTTGGTAGTTTCAATGGTTCGCTTGAGAGTAAATTTGGCAAGCATCGTCATGACGCAGATGAAACTTGCAAGTGTCCAGAGAAAAATAAAGATCGATTCAGCAAAGACTGGGGCGCAAGTCTTGAGAGTAAGCTTGAAAAGTCTCATCATGGTGCGGAGCCAGCTGAAAAGTGCCGAGGTCATGGCCATTCCAAAAGAGTAGATTGGAAGAATAGATGGCGACCATGGCATCATGTTTCCCTCAGAGCTGAAGGTTTGGTTCATGGGAAGATTGAGGACTTCTTGGCCCGCAAATACAAAGACAGGTGTGATGCAATGGACCAAGGCTTCTGCACAAACTTTGATGATCAAGTCTTGTGGACCAAAGGGAACCAAGTCGCTTGAGCCAAGAATGACCAGGTCGGTACAGGTAGAAACTCTGAGCACCAATTCTCGTGCAGCAAAGAGCACCAAGGATCGTGTTGCTCTCACGACAATGGCTCGTGTGGCTCTGACAATGATGGCTCGTGTGGCCATAAGGACCAGATCGCGTGGAGCTCGGACAATGAGCTGTAGATAGGTTTCGCTGGTTGGAAGAGCAAAGATTTGGCTGTTGAGAACGGTGGCGTTGCCAATAAAGCTCTTGATTATGTTGGTGATCCCTCCAATAGCATCGGAAACGGTTCGACCGACTGCAGCAATGGAAATGGATCCGAAGATGGCTCGGACGCCTGCAACAATGGTGGTGGTTTGGGTGGCGATGACACTGTGGACTGCTGGTGCAACTGCAACTCGACTGATGAGCTGCTGAGCAATGACAGGCATGGCGGCGACGAGCATGACAATCAGAGTCAACGCAAGTGGCATGGTGATGGTGTTGATGATGGTGTTGATGATGTTGTTGTTCATGAAGATGAAGGAAAACATCGTTGCGATAAAGTTGTTTGTTTGCTGGTAAGGAATAAGCTCGATATCACACACAAAAGCTTGATGCTTTGTTTTTATGAGCATTTCTGAGTGCTTCCAAGATTGCAAGATTACAGCACGGTCTTGGAAAGAAACGTTTTGTTGGAAAGTTTGGGAGCGGTTTGCGAAAGTTTCCACGCTTCAGTCGTCGCCAAAAAGAAACCGACTTCATCTGGCTGCTAAATTGCCTAACGAAGCAAACCAACGCCGACTTTGTTCGTTTCTCATTCCTTGTTCATGTTAAAAGATTGTGGCACCTCCATAATATGAAGTGAACGCGAGATATTCCACCGCCATTGTCCAATAATGGTTTGACTGCAAATTTATTTTCTACATTCGTTCGATCGAAAAACGGTTGGACGATCGACTACTGCGACTAAACAGAAATGAGACAAGCTGAAGTCTAACTAAACAGGTTCGTACCCTGCTGGTACCGGTATCGTACACTTTCCCAATAGTGCAATATATTAACACATAATATTTATTACAATTACATGCGCTATTGAAATCAAATGAAATTTCTTGCCATCCGTGTTGTTCTATAATGGTGAGGCGATAGGGGGCTCACACATCACTCACACCGCCTGCTGGTGTGTGGTTGTTTTCCGGACGCAATTCTGCGTTCAAAGTAACTTTTGTTCCGGTACCTATCTGTGCGAGTACTCAAAGGAGAAAGGCTCCGAGTGACAAACTGTGAGTTCTGTCACCCAAGTTGATCAAGGAGGCCCCAATCACAACGGAGGAGGAAGAAAGTCATTGATGCAAATCAAACCAACCATCAACGCTACCTCTTCATAATTCCTCGATGGTTAACTAGCTTCAATCCTAACTCATCGTTTTCTGTAGCGATTTTGGGTTGGTTCTCCATTAAAAACTGACCTTAATCCATACCAACGACTATAAAGAACCGTAGTAGTACCGTAGTAGTAGTCCTTTCAGCACTATGTTGTTACTCGAAGCACCACTGGCTATACGCACCATACTTTGACTAGAGATCAAGTTTCTTATTCTTGCTTCACATCGTTTGCAAAGGGATCCCCGCGCATCATACGCTTGAAGAGTGACCATGGAATCATTGGAATTGCGACAAAGACAATCAAATAGATTTCGTACATCAGCGATCCAATGTCCGAGTGGACGACCATATTATTCGGACTTGCTTTCCAATCTTTGTAGCCAGAATTGTAAAATATCTCAGTATCCGGCTTGAGTCCCAGCAATGGTTCCGCCATTACCATGGCAAATGGGAAGATGACACGTTCTCCTGATTCCCAAATCGTCTGATGACATTGGGAACACCGACCTCGAGACATGGCAAACAATCCTCCCAAGGAAGTCGACCGCTCATAGTCTATATTCTCAGAGCCTTGGATTGTTACATTCCATTTCCAAACAGCGCCTCCACCACTATATCGGGCAGGTTTGGATTGATACTTGCTGGCAAATCCACGACAATGAGAACAGTGGCAATTGTAGGCGAGGAATGGTTTCATGTCAATGGCAATAGAGACATTTCCACACTTGCATCTTCCGGATCGATAGACTCCCATTGAATTATTTGTTCCTTATATCCTTGTTGACGAGTTATTGTTGTATTGTAGTAGTTGCTAGCTAGAAACGATAATATAATGCTTCCGAAGGATTCGATCTCATCATGATTGTTGTTGTTATTATTATTGTCTTCAATTTGCGAAACTTTGATGCGATGACGTAAGTTTTGGAGCTTGCATGCGTTTGAATGAATGAATCAATCAATCCTAGAAAATATTCGCGTTAAATCGTCCTGCCGAACGTTTTGATACCACAAGTGGTCTGGCAGTCCTTCTGTGTGGATGCCGATTACATACCGGTACCAGGGTACCAGGTACCCTACCCGGTACTGTATGCATACTGGAAAATGTAAAAAATACCCGGCGGCGGCAAAAATAACGAAAACCAATACCGTACTAAGAGAATTGGCACAGTCGCAGATAAAGCACGACCGAACACCGCATTTGCACACACTCATCACACACGCAAGATTTATCCTCCAGTGCACTTTCGTACCTCACTCACTCACCCATTCATTCAATACTGTAGATATTCACTCAATCAATCTATTTATTCAATAGTATAGTATGAGCGCCTCCGTTCCATCATCCTCCACAACCAGACGAAGACGGCGACGAAGAAGAAATGAGTTCCGTTTTCAGCTAATTCGGTGTTCCGATCCAAATCGATCCGTCAGTCGCATCCTAGACTTGAAGAACCAACGAATTACCAATGCCTCCTTGTTTCAACTCCAGGATGTTCTTGACGGTACTGTTCTCACGGCTCTGTTGGACGTCTTTCAGCATTTTGTCAACGAAGGAATCAAGTGGCAGAGTCTGGAAATTCAGGAAACCGAGAAAATTATGTTCGATGTTTCTCCCTTGCACGAGCTTCTTCGTCTGGCAAACGAATCAAGCCTCTTTCAAAGCATCCATTTGGCTCTTCGGAGCCGATACAATTCGAGCTTGCAACCGGATGCAAATGATGGGGCATTTCTGCAATCGATCGAGCAAAACAGCCGACTTGCCCAGCTCAGTATTGATCTGGACGGAAGACAATCGGCTGAGGACGTTCAATCTTTGATTACACTTTTGACCGTTTCCAAGACTTTGAAGCGTCTCACGCTAAAGTGGCATGGGCTCCAGGTGGGTGCCTTTTCGGAAGGGTTCGCCCACAACTCGGACTTGACTTCACTCTGTCTAAGTTGCCCTGCTGAGAGCTTTGTACCGAGTTCTTCGATTCACGACATGATGACAGAACTCTCCCTGTATCCAACGATGAGATTAGAAAAACTGAACTTGTCTAGCAAAGGCGACGACGAGCTGTCATCGGCACTGGAATTGCTATTGCTATCGCAGCAGGGACTCAAGATGCTTACTGTCTCTTGCGGTGGATCATCGGCTCTAGGTGGCTTTTCCATGGCCGGTCTCGCTCCAGCTCGGTTATCCAGTAATCCGTTTGATTCCTTTTTCCGACGCCTTGCCGATCTCACTCCGGCGCGCATGGCTGCCATGTCAGCGGCACAACACCAGCACACCGTCGCCGCTCATGTACCGGTAGTGCAAGATCATAATGCGGAACAACAACAAGAACAATCCCTGGACGAACAATTGGACGCCCACTTGATCGAAAATGGTCCACTCATCACGATTGGAACGAACATGTACAAGGCTTCGAGAGACCAAATATCCTATGTCAAAAAGGCACTCATCAATTATCCCAAGCTACGATTGACCCGTCAATTTCCATCCTCAATGGAATATGACAATGTCTTGAATCACTGTGGTAGGTACCTGATGAATGATTCGAATGTGCCCTTGGGGCTTTGGCCCATTGCGCTAGAGAGAGCTGCTTGCTTGGAGAATCACAAGCATCTGCGATCTACTGTGATTTATGAGCTACTTCATGGGGGAGTATTTGCTGGACGGGAGACCTATGCTTCGCTCTAAGGATTTTAGGGGAATGAGAATGATTGGTGATAATGGAAAATGATGGTGATAATGGGAAATGGTGGGAATCGGAATATTGATATGGGAAATATGGTGATAATGGGAATTGTAGTGGTACAGATTCTTGTATCACAACTCTCAGTCTGGATTTATAGTTACGGCTGCCAAGAATGACGAACAAGAGTAGTTGTGAATTCAAGAAGAAAAGCAACAATATCGTTAGCTTCGTGGCAGGTGGATAGTGGGAGACCAAAAAGTTGGGGAGGAAGCGATCTTATTATTGTACATAACTCTCAGAGTGGATTTTGTCACAATTACCAATGTCAAATGTGTATTATTGCGTCTCAAGTTGGACGGAGATCTGAATGGTAATAATGTACATAGTGTATATCAAGGTAGTCAACATGATCAACAGTATAGGATAACCAACAATAAGTCATCAGTTGTCGCAAGTAATTGTCTATTTCTCTAACTGCTGTTTGTGTTACTTTTTTAACACGTTTCCGGCATATTATTCGTGCAATAATATCGGAATGCGTTTCATTTTGTCTATATATGGTTTGGTGGTTTGTCTCTTCGTTCATTGATTCATTCGTTCACTCGTTGCTCTTGGTGATCAAGAGTGCTGCTCCTCTTGGACTAATTGTTGGGAGGAAGAACCATCCACTACCGAAGTGGGTGATTTGAAACCATTCTTTTTCAGAATGGAGGAATAGGGATTTCCTTTTGAAGTGGGAGGCGTCGTTGGCCCAGCAGTGGTGGTGGTGGTGGTGTGGGCGCCGGAATGGTGTTCATGATCCTGCTCATTGTCCATTGCGACGCAGGACAAGACAGTTTGGTTGTCATCATCGTCGTCGTCACTACTGCTACTTCCGACTATTGCCATGTCTTGCAACAGTGCAACACAATCGAGCTGAGGAGCTTGCAGACAAGAAGCATGGACTTGTCTGATCACTTGAAGCAACAAGTCTTGCTGTTGTTGTTGCTGCTGTTGGTGGGCGTGCAGATTATCATCATCATCATGTTGTGTTTCCAAGCACAATGCTAAAGACAGCTGTCGCGAAAGGCGCTGTCGTTGAGAGGGTGAAATGGCATTCGGATCGCAAAAGGCCATGGCCACAAGAATAATGGCATAGGAAACAATCGATGGTGGATAGTTCTTGTATTGTGGTTGTGGAGAGACAATTTCGGTAATGATTTGGATCAACTTGCAAAGCATAGTCTTGGTGTCTTCCAGTTGAGCCTCGTCTTCTTCATTGGCATTGTCTTGTTGTAGAATCTCAAGCAAAAGCGATTGGTACTGATAAAGATAACAATCGACAGAAGGAGGATGCAAGTACCAAGAACAGGCTTGAATGATTTGGACTTCCATGGCAATGATATCTCTCTCGGTAAAGACATTGCGTCCGAGTTTGATCAAATCACTCAGCTTGATGAGTTTGCAATCATGGGTCTTGATGGCCAATTGCAAGGCCGTGGCAGCCGCCAACTGAAAGGACACCTTGTAGTCGTCGAGACAGTTGGATCGAGGGTTCGCCTTTTGGTTCCGGTTCATGGCTCGGACAATGATCTCACTGATGGCCACATCTAAAAAGTAGATGGCGACTCCCACTGTCTGCCGATTGACATGTGAAAAGTCGACCACTTGGTACATCCACTGGATCAGCGAGGAGCGCCAAGAATCCATTTTTTCCAAGTGTTTGCGGCGACTTTTCCTGATGGGTTTGTCATTCCCATCAGAATCTTGTTTCGCCGTAGCTTTCGCTTGTTCAAGCTCCACATAATAGGATGTTGGGTGGTGATAGACCTTGGCTTCTTGGCAGCACATGGTTCGCACAATATCTGCTGCGAGGGGAGCATGATTGAGAGCATTGTCTGAGTCGGATGGAGCGCAATCAGCAAGGAATGGTGATGTTGTTTCCGTGAGTGATGCCTCGGGTGGACTGCATTCGATAGAAGATTCACATTCAAATTCACATTCATAGGATTGATCGCAAGTTACTGTTGAGCTGCCAGTATCATCCGTTGCTTCTCCTTCCATTGGATAGACTTTTAGCGGCTCGGTTACCATTCTAATGTTAATGGAAGCCGAGGATGACGTTGATTCCGAGTTGGACATGATTAATTGATTGATTCTGATTCTGATTTTGTTTGTTTGTTTGTTTGTTTGTTTGTTTTTGTTTGAGTGATTCTTTCTTTAACAAATTCGTTGGTTTGTGTGCATGATTAGCTTTGCAATACTGTATACTCTGATCTACCTCTGGTTCTATTCTACCGGTATACTCTGATCACCGGTGTTATTGCGACTCTTGCTTTTTTGTCGATGCACAAATAGAATTTTGAATGCGGGGATCAGGAACAAATTTCGTCACGTTGGCCTCGCTACTTTTTTCGCCTTGGAGAAACAATGGGAGAAGGATTTTTGGATGCCCTGCTCGGTATGTATAATATTTTATATAGGTAATTAGGCTTGTACATTTCATGGACTGTCCGTGCCCTAATCAAAAACGTCGGTTGAACCCATAAACACTTCGAACGGCTGAAGCTGTGCGCTCGACAATGCCATTCAACGGACGTCATTGATCGCCGACATTACCGATCACATTTTCGGAGTAATTCTTTCACTTTCACGACAAAAACAAATTCCAGAAGAAAGAATGCAGATTGCCTTTGGACGATTGACTGCTGCAACTGATTGATTGATTGGTTGATTTATTGATTGTAGCAGACGAAGAGAAGAAGTGCAACATGAAGACCATCACATTTTCAAGTGGTTCTTTCACCTACACGACATGATATATGGAGTCAGTCGTTGGTGCGAGTTGCACAAGACGAAACCATATTCAATATACGAGTAGTCATTGCAAAGAACGGAAATATTGCCATTTGCTTTTATCATATGTTGCGTAAGAGTGGCTTGTGATTGATGATTTATCGAAAAGAGTAAGAATAAGGAGTGCAGCATGTATGACTAATGTAAAGAGGAGGACTGCTGAGTCTGTAGAACAAGCAAAATGAACAAATTCTATGCAAGATCATGGGTGGCAGACAACAAGTACTTGAAGAAGCAAGTTGTATTGGTCGTGGCCTGTTGAAACATTGAAGGAGTGTCAACTCATTTTGCGGCTGCTCCCCAGTCGCAATTGATTTCTTGATGAGGATCATGGCCCATTCAGACGGCATGCGATCCCAAAGAACGGCAATTGAAACGCTGACTCAACAGAAAATTCCAATGCTCTTTTAGCGGTGCAATACTCGATCTGCGTCTTCTTCTTTTGCAGTAACATAGTGTATCACAGTGTACCATACGAATAGAAAGGATGTAACAATACAGGTAGTTTCAGAATATGCTTGATGATGGTTACGGTTGCCATGGAAAGGCAAATACAGGAAGGCAAATACAGAATGACGATCAAACAACTAATATGATTGATTATTGAGTTTTCAATGCTTTTTGCATGTTGGCCTTGACAAGAATCATGAAAGATTAATGTTCAAACGTCGGGACCTGGCCTGACATGTACGGAACGATATGTTTTGCTGCAAACGAACGCATCAAGTTCGTCCACCATGTCTAGTAGTTCAAGCTTGTTTCCCACGTCGCCAGAAGTGGGAGTAGCAAATAAGCTCAACATTTCTGCCAGGCTCATATACTTTCAATACCTTGATCAACAATTCTGCTAGGCTCATATAATTTCAATACCTTCTTGATCAGTGTTCTGGAGAGAACGACTGCTTTTTGATTTTGGGTCATTCTCCTGACTATCCGTTGCCCTGCTGGATTGTGGACTTTTTGCAGCATGGGGGTAATTCTCCTGACTACCACCTGCTCCGCTGAATGGTGGGCGTTTTGAAGGAAGATGGAGGGAGACATCGCAAACGCCAGAAAAATCTCTCTGCTGCTTCTTTCGCATGGCAAGACAATCCAGCAACGTTTGATACTGCCCAAGTTTTTTTCAGCAGATATTTTGCACTGTTTCTGCCATTGCTGCCGTCAAGAGAGAGATTGTGTGTGTAGAGCCATAATTGGATAGGTACACTTGTACTTTGTCCTGGCTTCCCATCAAGTGCAAGCCACAAGAAAGTCCATTTGTCATTGAGATCCGTTAGAACCAAGATAATAGGATGATTGAGATTTAACATCGATGTAGCAAGATTCAATTCAAATTGAGCTTCAATGTTGTTCCACAATGCAATGTCAACATCCTGAGACTGTGTGATTGCAACATCTCTATATATAATGCCTTGTTTGTTGGCATCCCTGCTCTTCCATCTCCATTTTCCTAATCCCAACCCCAACCCTCCATTTTCCAAGTATCTCAAAATACATCTTCGACACCTTTCCTATTTTCTAGTTCCTTTGTTGATATTTGCCATCATCTTCGGGATGTGTTTCTCGTGCTGTAGGTTTCCAGTAACATTCTTTGTCATGATGTCAGATTCATTATCAGTTCCTTTGACAAATAGAATCTTCAAAATACCATCATCCGGTCCAGTGTATTGTGTTACGAATTTTGTTTGAATGTCCATGTGCCGTGTTCTCTGGTTTATTGTGACATTTATTTGTTGCCATGAAAATTGCCGCCATATTATTGTCAAGTCGAATAAAGGTATATTAGGTACTCGTACGGTACAAAAGTGGAGCAGTGGGATTCTCCTACATTGCCCCCTTTTCATTTCGGCTTTGCAGTCCCCCTCCCCCCCCTAAAGATATAGACCAATAACGGAAAAGTTGAATTGACGCGCTGTTTCAAAAGCATTCGCACAGCCGTGAAAAAAAGCCGGCCGCTCCAGGTTTTCCCATGGCGGGTCCAGAAACGTGGAATTTCCGTTAAAATGCGCTGCTAGTCAGCCAAAACAGATCAATTACTGGACGAAATATAGACAAGGAAAACTTGTGACTATCAGATCTCTTCAGACTACAAAACTACACGTACGGAGGACAGACCATGTACTTCCCAAAATAATGGTGACTTGATGCAAGAATCAAGAAGCATTGTAACAATAACATAAAATGCAGTGTACATCTCGTGGAGGACGCCCAAGTCGACACAGTCCAAGGATGACCATGCCCACTGAAAGCAAAGGCGATTCATTGGCTTTAGTGTGGAGGCAGACCAAAAAGCACATTCAGAGCTTTGATCGTAGATTGTACCACTCTCAGCATTTTGTCTTCTTCATACATAATGAATTCCACCAGACGAGCACGTTCTCTACCAGTATGAATCTTTGTTAACATATTGGCAAGATTTGTTTTGGTTCCTTCCCAAGCAACTTGAATAAGATCACTTGCACATTTTGAACGAACATAATGATAAGCAACAGAATTGCTTTTCTTTTTCAAGACAGATTCCGGGCAACTTGCGTTCATCACAACAGAGTTGTTATCAACAAGAGTATGGCAATGGCCATCAATTGGTACGCCCATCATTTGCAATTTGTATACTAGACCTTCAACCAATTCAACACCAGTCTTCAATGCAGCAAATTCACTTCCAAAAGAACTTGTTTTGACAGCATTCTGCTTCTTCGAATACCAAACGATTGGTGCATGATTCAAGAGGATAAGAACACCTGTTATGGATTGACATGTAACAAGATTGTTGGAAGCATGTGAGGCATCAACAAACATCACAATCTTTACCGCTCGTCCAAGGGCTTCTGGCATATCAGGGGGCAGTACTTCTTTTGCCCATGGATAGAATTCATGCCATTCAGATTTTGGTATGTCGGTCAGGGCCATATATGCGGAATCCATGACAATCTCGCAACTTGGATGTGTTTCAAGATAACCAAAAAGGTGTAATACCGCATGAAAGTGTCCAACACGAGGCATGGCATTGTACAAAGACATCATTGAGACTTCAGAACAAACGTCCATTCTTCCAAGCTCAACCAACCACCGTAATATTCCAATCAGTTGCATATACATTGTGTGTGTCTCTGCGTCAACAAAATCAGTGTTGTCAAGCTCAGGTTTATAACCAGAAGGTAAGGCAGCAGACACGTTTCTTTTCAAATTCAAGTTGTATTTTTGATGTGAGATTCAAGACTTAACGACACGTAACGCTTCAAGCAAATAGTTAGTTGAACCAATCGACCAGCATTTTTGAGAATCGCTAGGATCAACAAAACGTTTTGAAATTGTTGCACCAAGGAACATTGTAGGCTCTGCAATTGAATCAGGCTTGAGCATGTAATGCGTTCCAAGCTTCTCCAATATAGCACAAGGATTTTCAGAAACAGCCATAAGGTCATCGAATATACGGGAAAAAACGGATGGGAGTACATACCATTCCCGTAAATCTTCCAGAAACCCCGTAATTTCGTCCGCAGTGTTGGCACGACACAATGGGCCTTTTATGGTGCACACTATTTGTCACTTTGCGCAATGAAAGTTGAGGAACAGTTGTGCAAAAAGCTCAGGATGCAGAAGCGGATGAAGGAACCTGTCTCTGAGGAGTGTGGAATGCCACTAGCCTACTACAGATGTGAAGAAACGGAAGCGTTCGATTTGTTGACTGGGTTGAGACCACAAAGAGGCAGGGGGGTCAAAGCATCAGTTTGCTCATGTAGTTGATGTTTTGGTGGAAACAATGTTTTTATGTCTTTGCTGTTGTGTTTTTGTGTTTCTGCGAGGAAGCGGGCATGTTCACCGTTGGTCGTTACAGTCGATAGCACGTGCTTGCGATAAATTTGGAATTAATTTTTATATTGGAATTTGGAATTTTGTTCAAGGCCCAATTGCTCCTTCCACTTCTCCAGCGACCTGTTGGAGGTGGAGGTCAGACGGACCGGGCCGGTGTCTTTTGGTAAATATAATGTGCTTGTTGCGCTCACTTACTATAGCAAGTGCGCTGGGACGCACCACAACGTCAAACGCACGCCCGAAATCTGTCCGTTTAGATTGTTTTGAGGATTTATTTTAGCTCTAAATAATTTTTATGTGTCCGTTAAAATGCTCTGCGACTTTGACGCAGGACGTTTCTTTTGACACGGGAATGACGCGAGTTGCGTTAGTTTGACGCGGAGTTGCGTTGGTTTGACGCGGAGTTGCGTTAGTTTGACGCAGAGTTGCGTCAGTTTAACGCCGATTCCGCGTCAACTGACGCGGGTTGCGTCAATTTAACGCGGGCCTGCGTGTCTTCGACGCGGGACAAAACCCGCGTACTGGAACGGCCGGGAACGGTGGTTGGAGTGGTCGGCGAAATGTTTGGGGAGAGACTGGAAAAGGAATCTGAGGGTTGCGGAATTTCAAAAAATTGGACATTCGAAAAAAACGTCCGATTCAACTCTCCAGATGAATAAAAAAGGCTGTCTTCTCTTTCGCAGGAGTGAAAAAAATTGGCCAACGGTTCGTCCATTCTGTTCCGGTGCCACCAACGTGAATCATGTAATATAAGTAGTGGAAATATCTGTTTTATTCAATTTACTACAAAATACAGTAGCTGCCGAGAGCGCAATGACCGGCTGAGTGATGATTGACCGCAACGAGCCAGTCGAGCTGTGGTCAATTTGACCACGAGCCAATCGAGCCGTGGTCAAATTGACCACGAGCCAGTAGAGCCGTGGTCAATTTGACCACAAGCCAATCGAGCCTTGGTCAAATTGACCATCCAATCATACTTGGACAAAATTCGAAGGGCACGTGGTTTTCCAA